TAACAAAACGATAGCGCGTTTCAACTCGATCCCAATGCCATCTAGCGGCGTTGGTGTGTAATTAAACATTAAATTTCTGTAATTTGTTGAGTTGTTGCTTATAAAACAGTGTAAGACAGACTATTTCTTCATATTCTCAAATGTTTATTAAGGAGGTGTCAAACATTTATTAGCAAACTATATTCTGTATTAAATAATAAGACTCCTCTCGTCAATTGCATTACACGTGTAGCAAGCGTCATAATAGGGTTGAATTTAAATCGTGTCAAGCATGACGTACTTCTAGAACAATTCTAGTTTTAGGGCTACGGCATTAATTAATTTTTTTAAGACAGCAACGGTATGGCGTTGCCGTGTTCAACGGTGTACAGAACGATTAATATTTATGTCATACTACTGACAAAAACTGATCCTTCGTTCCCACTAGTTCTATTGAGTAGTTTCTATTATAGAACTACTGAGACTTTTTAATTTTATTTTCTCAAGGTTAAAATTTTTTATTATTTTTTAAATTTCAATTGGTAAGTTTACAATGTTTGATATATTTTTTAAATTCTTTTTATTTTAATTTGTCAAGTTTACATTAAGTATTATATGTATATATATATAAGTATAAGTTATATATATTCTTCAACCATACATTGAGGATAAAATCATTTTCAGGATAAAAATAGAACAAAGTCAATATAACTAATGGGAAATGATTTTTCCCGCTAGTCCGCTAGAAAAAGTCCCAGTAGTTCTACAATAAAACTACTCAATAGAACTATTGGTAACGATGGAATCTGATTGCACGTAACAAAATATCATCATTATCATAAATTAACATAATTATTGATTATATAATAGGTTATATATATTAATAGGTTTGTATATATATTGATAGGTTGGTTAATAATAATAGGTTTTAAAAATTATTTTATTTTAACAACAAGAATTTTTATTAAATTAATTTAATTATTCACACCTAAATATCTATTAACGCTTCAAAGTTAAGGCGTTAGGCGTTGTTCGGGAAAGGTTTGATGCAAACATGTGTGTAACATTATTACCTGTCTTGTTTTAAATAGAGTTCATCATGAGACTCTATGGAATAACTCACGTATTGAAGTCGAATTTTTTTTCTCGACATGTTTCGAACCAGTTTGTAGACTTTTAGAATGGGATTCCGCGGCGTTTCACCTTTTTTTAACAATACTAATTTAACGACTCTTATAGGGACTTTTTGTTAAAACTCACACGGAGCTGTAGGTTATTGTTGCTATTCATAATTGTGAAGATACTAATAAATGTATGCAATATCGTTTTATACTTTTCGCAAATGCATGGTCTAGTAACTCCATGGATTGCTATTGCCATTTACCTAGAAAAGCAGCAGTATAGTGAAAGAGTTCGTCCAGGACGTACTGCCACTTCTATTTCTGCCGCCAAGCAATAATGTGAGCACTACTGCGTTCCGGCCTCCGCCTTTGAAGGGTAAGGGTGCTGGGGAAATACAGGCACATAGGACTTGTCAACTTTATGTCTCAGGGTGACAAGTGCAGTGGCAGTCCCCGTCATGTATTTGTAATATAAAGCTCTGCAAGTGTTATGAGTAGGCGTGTGTCGGCTACCATCAGGTGTAGTTGTTCGTCCCGTCACTTGATGTCATAAAATGAAGTCAGATTAGCATTACGAATTTTTGAATTCAGAGAATGTTTTCTTATTAAGAACGGCATGTCTTTTCAGGGTTCTGCTGTTTCAAACAATACACACACATGTTCCAAACAATATCTACAGCCTACAGCTTTGCGTATCAACAAATAGAACATCCGTCACCCTTCCGTGCATCCGTTTCCGACCACCCGTGCGCATCCAATCTCACCCCAATCTCCCGACACATATGTGCCGCGATCTCCTCTCGCCGTCTGGACTCCTGGTACATATGTGACTGCGGAAACTCACATGGTGCCACGGGCGTGACATGTGGGACATTTTGCAGATGTTTGTGATCCCTTTCGTGATATGTAAACACAAACGAGAAGAGTCGTGTGGCTAATTCGAGACTTAACCTTTCAGGCTAAGGGATACCGAAAATGTATAATATATATACATACATTACACATATATGTATATATTCATATATTCATTATTGTGCATGTGACAGGATTACTTTTATTTTGTTTGGTTTAATGTTGGTATAAAATAGGTATTTTACAATTTCTTTATTTGGAACGAAACCTATTTTTGTAGTTATACTATTTAATAATGTTTTATTTCCACACTAAAAATAACTGGGGTTCACTTATTTTTGTAACCCTAGATCCCTAGCCCTAGATAAATGTATCCAGCAAACGAAGAAGTGTATGTAAACTAAACAGAATAACTAAACGACTATATACTATAATAAGTTAACAGTACTATAACTTCACACATAAACACATATGAAGGGGGCGTGGCCGCAAGCGAGTATGTGTGTGATGTACAGTCATATTGGCAAAGCACTTATGAGTCTCGTTGCGTGTTATGTCGCCCTGGTAGAAACGTGTGTTAGCGACATCACATGACGACCTCCATTTCATGTGACACAGCTGACATGACATCACTGCGAGTTAAACAAACGTTCGAGGAGATAGGAGTTAAATTTTTTTAAGTTGCTGTTTTAGAAATAGAACCGCAGTTCTTGTATAATATACTATTAATATACATAATTAATAACATTATTGCACTTTCGTAAATTAAGGATAATACGTATTTATTATTTACCTATGTAAAAAGGTCTTTCAACAGAGATATTTGATTGATATTTGAAAAAAACTGCTTCTTTTCCAAAGGACACCATATTACATACAGTGCTAAGAGCATATTCTAGCTTGACTCATTGAACTTTGAGCTTTTCTTATCGTGAAAGGAATAGAGTTAAATTTAAATTTTTTGTGTCAAGAATGACGTGCTCTTGACCTACATAATAATGCTTTGTAGTTAGTTTAGTAGCAGTAGAGCTCCCTGTGAAAGAGTTAGTCTGTCACCTTACATATTTCTGCCGCCAAGCAGTAATGTGAGCATTACTGCTTTCCAGTTTGGAAGGGTAAGGGTGTGGCGAAATTAAAGCACATGGGATTTATCAACTTACGTCTCAGGATGACGGGCGCAGTGGTAGTGCCCCTAAGATCTTTGTGATTTACACCCGGCTCATATACACCAGGTGCATGCATGTTCGTCCCGTCACTTGGTATTATAAAAAAAAGTACAGTTAAAGAAGATAACGATAAACACGGTCTTCTTACCTAAGTGTTTACCCTTAATTTATCAATTGTAGAAGGTCATTTTACAAACCCTCTCTCTGAGGTTGCAATCTCAACCGCCCAAGTTGCCTAGGGCGCCGCCTACATCCCATTGTTTCAATCGTCCTCTACCAGGGTTCGACGAACTTGCAGGAGATGATAGAGAGTGCAGTTGGGGTGCCAAGGAAAGGGGTGATTTTGCAAGTGTGTGACATGTATAACATAAGGGATTTGACTTTGGATACTGTTCTTGTTTGCTTTCATGTTACTATTAAAATTAACTTTGACTAGAATTTGAATTTTTCTAAGTTCCTGAAACTATTTACACTTTACACAGTTATGATTAATAAATTTAACTGTTTAAACATTTAGTTCCAATGAGTTCTTCGTTGACCTATAATTATAACAGGTCACCGTTGGACCTTTATCACACAACGTTTACTACAATGCCTATGATTTATTTAATACTTTATTGTACAGGAAAAATACAACAAGTCACAAAGAATACAAGCGAAATTAAAAACAAAAGTTTCTGCTTATTTCTAATACAAATTTCTTCCTGCAGACCTAAATACAGGACACTATAACTAAAAGAACGGGCATATGTGCACAACAAAACAAGGAAAAAAAATAAAAATAATACAATAATATTTTTTTATAAATAAATAACGCACACACTCAACATAGCCCCGCACTAGGAAAACCCTGTGTCGCGGGTGCCATGGACACAAACATAGACAACCACAAATTACACCCAAACTCACGAGAGAAATAATTGTAAGCCATACAACTATTTCTCACGGCCCGGGAATCGAACCTGGGACCTCTGCGTGGCAGTCCGGCATAGTAAATTTTATTTATTTTTATTAAATTGTTATAAATTATATAAATACATATTTTATAATATAATACCTAAGATATGGATAGAATAGTAGATAAATAATGCTCTATAACTCTCACTTTAAAAATAGCTAACGATTTACTTTCGTGATTTGTGTAGGGATTATAGTGACGAATGCAGCTGAGAGGAAAACAAATGGGGCGTATCTATTATTTTGTAATCCATATTCACGTGACATTGTACAGCAATTTAACATTGGAACGTCACTATTTTTGGTGTCTATAAATAAATCGTGCACACATGCAAGCATGAAACGAACACTTTTGCACAAAGATAGTGATTATTATACGATTACATTGAATTTTTTGTTCTTAACATTTTGAAATAGTTCAAACAAAAGCAGCAATATGCTACAAATGCGGATTTTAAGCGAAGGTGAAATGTGAGGAAGAGAGACGAGTAGTCGTTTATTGTATCGACTATTCGAATATAATAGAGTTTACTTTTTTTGTAACCTAACTGTGTTTTGAGGGAACGCCTAGAATAAATAATTTGGTATAGTTATCGTAATATGGAATTTATTGTTTGAATCATGTAATAAACAACAAATTAAAGGTTTCGTCAATGAAACATAGTTACTTATTATTTGCTAATGTTCATATTTATTCCAAACACTTTACGTCTTATTACGTAGGTACTACTTGGTCTAAATTTTACGCTATTTATCTACTTCAGGCGAACATAATGCATGATATTTTGACAGTTTTTTAATACGTTCCTCAATAATAAGTATAAAATAATATCGACCGCAGCAAGTCTAAATTCGACTCTAAACGATTTATAATAAGATAGTCAATTCAATAGTCATATCATTTGAAAATTATCTTTGTCCCCAGGTACTCGGTTTTCCGAACGTTTATGTGTTTACAAAATACGGTCACAGCAAACAACGGCGCACCCCTAGTACGCACACAGCGACACTCATCAAAGATCGAAGGGTGAGTAGAGTTACATAGGGGAAACTTTGCACACGTCCATCCATTTATGCGAGCCTGGTATCTGCAAAGGAGAATACACGTGGTGTCCTCCACCGTCCGCGAGAGCAATTTTGTTTGCCCTCGTTTTATTTTTTCCACGTAGTAGTTACTTTTCTTTATCGCGTAGTACAGTTAACGTGTGTTGTTTTCGTCGCTATTCTGATGCCGGGTACTTAGTGTTATTTCCGTGTAGAAGGAGATCCGCCAAAATGACCCCAGGCCCGGCGCCAAAATAATGTAACTCAGTTTTTAGAGTAAAAATAGCCATAATATTATATAGTTTCGGTATTGCTAAATTCACGTGCTAACACAGTTTTTTTGCCTGTTGAATTTTCATAGGCGCTTTATGAAAAATTCTATTTATTAGAGAAGCGTCGTCCTTTTTAGTTCATTAACATTGTAATAAATAATTATGGCATATAAGCATGTATATCAATCATATTATTATTATTATTATTATTAAATGAAACTCAACTCACTACAGAAGAGGCCAACAAATCACGACTAATAACCATGTGTCGTTGGGTTGTAGAAACTGTGAATGGCAAGTTTAAAAATAGCTTTAAAATCTTCCGCAACAGAATGTTTAACAATACCTTAACGAAAACATTCACAGATTTCAAAATAGCAGCGGCTTTGATAAACTGCTTTCAGGAGCCTTACGAAGACAGTAGATTTACTGATGATTTTATTGCATCAATAAACCGCAACATACATAAAACAAATCTGTTGGCCGCGTATGTTTTAGAAAACAATTTGAACAGGCAAAGATCATCATTTACTAGACTGGATGCAAACAATCCAGAAGTATCAGATTTTCCGGAGCTGACGTACGAAGATCTGATAAAATTCGCTATAGGCACATATCACCTCAAAATAGCACGTTCGTACTGCAGCGAACACACGAAGAGAACTGGCGTATATGAAATCGAGGTTTACAGACACTCAGAACAAATAAATATAATAAATAATCGAGTTATAAGGTCACAGTCGCATACAAACAACGTACTGATTCGCTGCAGAATTAATTCACGTCATGTCAGATCAAACACTTATTATACCTATTTGTTATTTAATACTGCGGTTTTTGGAATCGAGGCAGTGAAAGAACATTACTGTTCCTGTTATCACGGGAACAGAACACTGGGAAGTTGCGCCCATGTAATAAGCGTCATGTACTATTTGGGTTGGGCTAGACACAATGAACGTGATTTAGACCACCCAGCTCTAGGCTTAGATTTTGTATTAGTTGATTTAGAAAACTAAGTCCATCAAACATATATTCTGTCGAGAAAATGAAAATATATATTATTTTATAACCATACTAAGTGTTTTATTTTACACATAGTTTCGAACATCTAATTTATTTTTTCATAGTTCACAGTACAGTACATACATGCTTATATGCCATAATGACTAATTACAAGATTAATGAACTAAAAATGACGACGTTTCTCTAAAAAATATAATTTTACAAAGAGCCCCTATTAAAATTCAACGGGCAAAAAGACAATGTTAGCATGTGAATTTAGCAATACCGAAACTATATAATATTTTTGCTATTTTTACTCTAAAAATTGAGTTACATTATTTTGGCGCCGGGCCTGGGGTAATTTTGTATGGGATTTGGCGGATCTCCTTTACGGAAATAGTTTAAAGCGGTGCCGGTGTATATGTACGTACATACATCTACTAAATACAGTACATACGACAAACAATATAATTTAAAAATTACTTTCTAATAATTCAATTAAAACAAAGAAAAATCTCATTTTTGTAAATTAAAATCAGGAAAGAGTAAACATGTTTATTTTTATCCTAATAAGAAATTATCCACATTTACAGGTAAGATGGGCAGAACAACTTTTTGAGAAAACTCGTGTAAAACGACACTTTATATCAGACGTAGACAAAGACCTACACAGGGTGAAAAGAGTAGAAGAGTTTAATTTAACATCTTCAGAAACTGCAGAAGTTAAGAAATTCAAAGTACTCGGGAAACCTCCCTTCAATGATGAGTTGTGGGATCACGAGTGGTATCTGGTAAGATGAATCTTTTTAGCCACATTTTCTTTTAGTTGCAGTTTTGAGTTTCTGCTGTACATCGAGACAGAAGAAACGGCTTGTCTAATTATAAGACTTAGCAATGTTGCTCTCAGATGATGTGTAAGACCATATGATACATGTAGAAGAGAAAACACGATACCAAGTGATAAAACACGGTGCGGTGGTGAACAGCTAAAGACATTCATACTGACAAAATTCTTCGTTGAATATTGTACGGTATGTCATGGTCATAGCGTTTTCCAATGTCAGTTAAAAACAGTCAGCCTCAGTCTAAACAGACTTTCTTACGACGAGAAAATACCAACGCATCACAAAGACATAAATTACAAGTATCATTTACATTAAGCTAGAGGATATCCACTTTATCCACACTATATATTATATTATATATTGTGTTCAAACTAAAAACAGCCGCTCGTCATACTCCAATGACCATAATGTTAATGGGACGAACCGTATATTGAAGGTAATATTATTAAGTCATAACAAACTAGCTGTATAACTAACTAAGTTAGACTTTTTACAGCAAGATACTCGTACGTCGAATCATCTACCCCGTCTGGATCTGAACGTTTTACCCGCCTACGCCATGGGCTACAATGGCGATGGTGTGCGCGTGTCTGTACTCGACGACGGCATCGAGCACAACCACACCGACTTGCGCGATAACTACGTGAGTTTTATGATCGCCTGGTAGTTTTGAGGCGCAACGAGTAAAAGTCGGCTTGAGTGAGAGTGTTGAGGCAAGTTGGGCGTTATGGGGAAAAAGAGATGTAAAACGAACAGTAAGATGTAGTGAATTAAGGAGTAGGTTTCTTATATATCCTTGTTTTAATAAATAATAAGTAAAGGTGACAGTCAAATTACGAATACAATTAATTAATTAGGGTTTTGTTATTATGTATACTAACATAAAGTATCATAAGAATATATTATATTCTAAAAAAAGATAAATATTAAAAAATACTAATCCCAAAATATGTTTTGGTGGTAGAAATGCATGAAACAAACATCTTTTTCTTTTTTCGTCTAAATAAGTATAAATAAAATATATGTATAACAAACCTACAAATATTGCAAAGGCTGTCCTTTGTCCTTACCTATTATAAATTTAATATACACTTGGGCCGGCCGGCAGGTGCATTGTTGGTGTAAGATGCTTGTTCACATCGATACAAACTTTCTTGCATTTCATGATTCCCTGGTATTAGTGAGGTATCACTTAGCCCATTGGATTGGATGTCGTTCGTAAAAACGGGATTGGTTGGTTTACAATTAAAAACATTCACCAGTGAGTGTCGGATGTACATACAAACGGGGTTACATAAGATTGAGCTCCTATTGGGCCTCGAATTCTATGTGTTCTGCTTCACGCAATCAAATTTGTGATTTTGTAGTATGACGTATAGTTTGTAGGTATGATTTTTAGATAATTTGTCTACATTAAACAGAACTATTATGTAGACAAAAAGAAAAAATAAAGAAAGCGTGATGTCAGTCGGCCATTCACGTTACCGAAGTAGTCGGACAGTCTTTTGAAATTACTGGAAAAGCCATACGTATAAATTTTTGAAAAAGTGTTGTTAAATTTAGTGAGAAATATAACTTTTGAATAGCAAACATATTAATGACGTCATCATGGCCTTCCGCTAACTAAAACGCGGCTAAGTGACAATATTTTATTGAGTTCAGTTTTAGAATAATGAAATTGTTTATTGATATTTGATAATGATATTTGATGAATGAGCTTTGCATCGTATCCGATAAGTGGAACACGTTAACTAAATTTAACTGTTTTTCAAAGATAATTTTGTGTTCTATCTTTTTCTATTTTAAACGGACTTTTGACCATTTGTCACTTAGCCGCGTTAGTGGACGGCAGCATTATATTCTGCGTGGTATGTTGTATTTGACTCATATTTGGTGAAAACGGTGTTGTCACTTTACGAATTTCAATGGCGCTTTTTGAGTCATTTTTTAAAACCCTTTTTTCCTTTGGTTTTAAGGTCTTAAACGTACAAATAAGTTCAAGCAATGTCAATAATTATAACATCACAAAAATATTTAAGTTAAATACAACAAAAAAATCGATATTTTAGGTCACACGAATGAGATTGCAGTAAAACGAATGATTTTCTCATAAACATAAATGAGAAAGACGGCATGGTAATGAGAAATTATTATTACAACACACATTTTATTGTTCACAAAATTAACACGTAAGAACAACTATTTTAATATAACTTCTTGTATAAAAATCCTTCTCATCCGTGTAAGACCATCTATCTATCTATATGTAAATAATAAATAAATCTAAATAATTAATAATTTTGTTAATGTCATATAAACTTTGTTGTACATACATCAATATTCATCATCACCACCATCAACATCATCATCATGACCACCATTATCATCAGCATCAGGATGAAGAAGAAAATTGTTTGCGTCATTTATATAGCATCCGGTTTATTAAATAAAAATACGTAGTTTGCAAATATTTTTATTACACATGTATGTATGTACACTACATATTTTTATTTAATAAACCAGATGCTATATAAATGATTTTTTCTTCATCCTGTAAAATTGTCAAAAATGAGATAGTACCGGTTGCTATTCACTAGGAAAACAATAACATGATTTGTATAGTAAAATTGAAACCTAATCAGAATTGTATGCATTTTTCTGATGTAGTTGCATGCAAAAATGTTTTTTTGCATATTTGCAAAACATTGCGTAAAATCATTACTACTTTAGCGCCTATAAACAAAGGGTTAGTAAAGGCAACAGACAGAGCGAAGCGAAAAAGAGAAAGCGAAAAACTGAGGCGAGTAAAAAAAAGTTCTACAATATTTTAATTGCTTTACAGGTTTAACCTTACCTTTTAGCATCTTTAGAATCCAAGTTATTTTCCAAATATCATTTTCACTGATAAGTTTTCATATTGACTTAAATATATTTATTTAAGTTATCCATCATGATCAAACAAACATTTAGTACGGTAATACACGTCCGATTTCGTGTCTGATGGTCGGATCCGACTATCGGATCGGATTCACTCAATACACGTCCGATAGGCGTCCGATTCTTTCGTCAGACTTTTTCTGAACTAACTGTAGTGTTGCCAATTTATGGGGAATTCCCTAAGTACATGGAATTTCAATTCAACAACTCGTTTGGGGATTTTGTTTGCATTTCGCTATGTGGGGAAATTGCCCTCGCATTCTAGAATTCAAGGCCGTGCCCGAGACGTGGACGGGGCGTGCAAGTTTGCATTGTATTGTAAGCGTAACAATAATAATATAATAAATACTAAGAATGAATAAATATTATTACATATGGGAAATATGACCTTTGCCCCCCCCCCCTAAATTTATAACCTTGATTTTTGGGGATTTTGAATAATTTGCATTGGCAACGCTACAAATCGGAGAGAAGAATCGGACGTGTATTTCGTCTCTCCGCAAGAGTATAAAGAGCGCGCTTTCCGACAATCGCATCGGTAATAAAATCGGACGCTATTTTCGACTCGGACGCCATTGCCACGTCGATCGTCGGCCAAAGTTAATTTCGTTCGCATTATGCGATCCTAGTAACACTGGTGAAGTTTAGCAAACCGACGACGTTAATGAGACCCAAGTCCAGTCGTCAGTCAGTCATTTCGTCGCTTTGAGCTTATTTTTCGATTTTAAAAAGTGACAATTATATTATTCATTATTATTCATTATTATTTTGCATACCTAGGAGACGCCATCATACATGAGATATTTAGACGGATAAAATCTGATACCACACTGATACTATTGTATTTATTAAATTATATTATTATTTATTAAAATATGTACATATGTAGTATTTCGAATATTTTTATTTACATTGATATCATCAGCGTTTAAAATCAGATCACAGGTAGATTTTCACTGGTTAACAAAAACATCGCAATTTTTCTGAAAAGGTTTATAATAAATCTGTTAAGCACCGTTAAAATTTGTCAAACAAAAAAACTGGTATTAGGTTGAGCGTTACGTGATGGTTAGTTACGTGCATGCATGCTATTTTGTGTCCGGTGTCTGCTTCTTACGCCTTTACTAAGTGATACCCCACTAATACCAGGGAACAATGAGACCCAAGAAAGGTTGTTTACAATTTTAAATGTTCGAAAGGACTCCAGTAAGCTAATATATTAAAATAAAATAAATAATATAGTGAAATTATTGCAAGAAAAAGTTATTGAATTACGTAATGGAATAAATAGTAGTAACAAATAAAGTTAATATTCCAACATAACGGAAACGTAAAATACAATTTAATGGAAAGAAAATAAGAATAATATACATGTATCGCAATGATAAAAGTAACAAATAAAAATGGAAAGTTCAACAACAACTCAATTTTTTTTTTACTAATTTAATAAATGAAAGGAAGGAAGCTCCGTCGCTTCAAAATTTGTGTCGTTTAACCACGGAAATATCCACTATCCTCCTACATTATACCAGGCTTGCATAGCACTCGTGTAGATAATAAGCGCCTTTAGTAGAATCAAACGTATGACATATACAGCTGATTATACGATTTATGTGCATGTGATTCAAGAATCAAGAGAACCTCGAGTTACAAATAAAAGAGATCCATTGATTTAAATTCATTCTCAGATGATTTTGTATTCAATGAATGACAAAGCACGTATAACCAACCTACTTGGTGTCTGTAGTGTCTATTGTATTATTGCGAGATTTTAAGAAGGGAGCCTGGTAAATTTGAAGAATGTGTTGCAAATCGACCATGCACCGAAATAAGGCTTCCTTTCTATAATTTTTCTTACATTTTACTATCTATTTTTATTTATTTTAGTATCACATTTTCACATTTTGATGATAATTTCCTTTTCTTTTTTAGATATAACGTTAGTGTCGTTAAGGATAAAAAAATACTACTGGAATAATATGATTTCATAAATTGAAACATTTTCATCTTGTGTTCGTTTATAATGCTTTATTTCAGAAATCGAAAAAATAAAAGAATCATAATCTACCTACCAGTTACTTCCGCCATCCTAGTAACATCCTCCAACCTAGTAACAAAAAACCTTCCAATAGGTGGTGTAATTATTTATTAATTTTGTTTCCTGTGCTAACAACTACATAAACACACTACCAACCGACACAAGCATGCTTTGCACATTTATTGGTTAACTCACACACGAATCTGCAGTCCCCTCCCACAATTTTACTTACGTCACGTGAGGTGATGCAATTTTATGTGAGCCTGGTGAATTGGACGAACATCACGCGTCCTGGCGCCTGATTAGGCACTAATGACAGAGTCATTTCGAACTCGATTTTAGTTATTTTTAGAACTTTTAGATGGTAATTGAAATAAATGTAGCCGAACAGAGGTCTTTGTTCTTTACAACGACTATTTTTAACCAATAAAAAAGCTTCATTAGTCATAGACAAGTTCGAATTGTTAAAACAAACATGCGCTGCGGTAACGTAATGTAATGAGTTTGCCAAATTTTGCCATTTCGGTAGCTTTAATATGAGGAGCAACCCTAGAGCTTTTTCTAGTGTAAATGTAACTCTGTATGATCTGATTTCTTAATAATTTTACTTACGAACCGAACATCTTCACGGCACTTTCAAAAGCACTTTATTTGTTTAATTATTTGTATTCAGGTTACAAAGACCCATAAGTACATACATTAAAGACTATACAAACAAATAAAACACATAAGGCTAATTATTATTTACACGTATTGACTGCGACGTGTGACGCAACGTGGGTGTTCGATAGTCGGCCTCGGAAACGTCGGTACATGACACCCTTCGGCCAAAACTCATCCTTCATGAAGGTCGACAGATGTTGATTTGGTACTCACCACAAGTGAATTAAAATTTACATTGGGGCGGGATCACCCAACTGCTCGACCCTCAAAGTAGCATTGGCTTTCACCCGTATATACTCTACAATATCGGCAGAGTTTGTGGAGTATTAAGCCGTGACACGTGTAAGCTTTTTACTTGGATTTTCACTTTTGTGTTCGTGAGATCTTCTCTCCTTCTGTTTTTGTCCCAAATCTTCGAAAGGTTTTCGGGCCCTTTTCGTCATCGTGCCAACTGATAATGAGGATTCTGGAGGAATGAAATCTTCTAACTATTACTCATCAAGAATAAGGCCATATATTACAATAATTCTTTCCGGAAAACAGGCGTTTTTGGATGTATCCAATCTGAATCCTGACTCCGAAATGAGATTCTTTGGATCTCATTTCGGAGCGCTCCAGAAAATTTATTATTTATTTGAAAGTTATTGTTTATTTATAGGAATTCTCTATAAATTTTAAGTTTCATTCGATACTTGTTGAACTGTACAGGAAAGTAAGTAATTTCCTTAAGAAATACTCAGGAAAAATTTCAATATACAGTTTCAATATACATTTTCAATATGTACAGACAGACACTCCTTTAACATCTCGCGTACTTTTAGGGATCATTTTATAAAGTTTGTTAATACGTAAGTTTCTTTATTACGTACAATTACAATATTATTTACTCTACTTTTGTTTTATTTTAATTGAAGTCGTCATTTTTTTTACAATTTTTTTAACAAAAACGTTATCAATAAATAGCATTAAAAATTGTCATTACCATATGTGAGCATGCTGACGAACGCTCGTCCGTAACGAGAAGGCAAATAAATAAATTATTTAGAGCAAACCGACCACAGTAATGACGAGCGATCGTCATTCTCGTTCATGAACGGATGGATGGATTGGTTGGTTGATTTTGGTTTCCAATTCGAAAAATTGTGGAACGTCTGTCGTTCACCTTGAGTGCGCATACATCTACAAATAAAACTGTACTTGTAACAAATCTTTAATACACTTTTATTACACAAACATAGATACGTTTTTTTTAAAACAAACGATTCTTTTAGCAGAATCATATAAGTTTGTTTTACTCCATCACGCTTATGTATTCTTGGTATTTTCGAAGTGCATGGTTGGAATTTGTTGAAGCAAAAAGACGCATCTGAAACGGCCTATGCTGGTTTAAAGTTTTACCTCGACAAGCACAACATTGTGTGTTAAGTTATTAATGAATTAATAAGTAAGTAAATTTTGCCTACAGCGAAATCTACCCAAACATTTAGCTAATAATTAATGACTTCGGCCTATTTCCGAAATCTGTAATAGAAATAAAGATGAAAAAATGGGTAAGAAATCCTTAAATTTTATCAAAATGAAAATGAAAGTGAGTGAGATGAATTATTGTGCATTCTATGTCACAATAAGTAAAAATTCCAGCTGTTCCACCGTGTCGTTTATTCGGAAATTCACAATATCGATGACTAGAAAATGAATGTATTTAATAAAAAAGTGAACGTTAGTCGCTTCTAATGGCGCACACTATCTACGATGTTATGTGAGCCTGGTAAAATGTTGGAGGATGGTGGATATTTCCGTGGTAAAACGACTCAATTTCTAAGGAGAGACAGACACTTATTACTTGCATTGGATGCCGCTTTAGTGTTTAAATATTTAAAATTCACAGGTACATAATAATTTATTGTTATTATAACTTTATTTCCATTCTGTTCCTTCCACATCTTGTAGCTTTTACACAACATGTATTCGTTTGTCTTCCTTAATTTTCTGTATTGTATCAAGAATATTATTTTATACGCCTATGTTTTTACGTTTTCCTTGTTCCTGTTATCTCTTTATATTTAAAACCAACAATATTATTTACCTTGAGGCTGGTATGTGCTCTACCTCCAATTTCTGCTCCGGCGATATTCATGAACTAGTTGAAATTTCTAATGCCCTGGTATGAATCGCACAGCTGATCCGTTAGGTGACGCCGATTGGCGGTCGGCCCTCACTAATCCAACCACGAATCGGACGACCGTACTTTCCGACCAATGATTTTGTTAAGAAAATATTTTGCGGATAGACAAGTCACTTTGTCCTAAGTCTAAACGATGACTGGCATATTTATAAAGTTGCATGTCAATAAGTTCTTGGATTTCGGCAATTATTCGGATATAATTAAGTATTATTAATAAACAACAGGAAAGGCTATTTTAGTAACTTTCACAATCGTTTAATTTTTAGGATCCGGAAATAAGTTGGGACAGCAACGATCACGATCCAGATCCGACGCCGAGATATGAAATTAAAATGAAAAATTCACATGGAACACGTTGTGCTGGCGAAGTAAGTAATTTTAAGGCAGGAAATGATTATATGAATGACAAATTAGGCAATATTCTTGGTAGGTACGTATGTATTTAAGACATGAATAAATTTAACCAAACCTTATTTATAATTTCCGTGCGACTAACTGTTACCACCTACTTATTTATTAGTGTGAATTATATATAAACAATTCCGAGTTATCTACAAGTACAATTGATAAATAAATGTCTATGTGTGACTGTGCAGATAGCAATGACCGCCAACAATTTTAAATGCGGAGTGGGCGTAGCCTGGGGGGCAAAGGTAGGGGGAGTACGGATGCTCGACGGACGAATCACCGACCGAGTAGAAGGCGAAGCGATAGGTAAGTTATTTCCCTTATTTTATGTCGCCCTGGTAGTTTTGTCTCCATGTTGAACCCAAACCGCGTATCTCCAACACGCTTTTTTACTTTTCATGCTTGTGGTAACAAATAAAAGATGGCGTTAGGAGTTTCGTCACTTTTTATACTTTCCTGTTTGATGTTGAGTAATTATTTACCTCGATTTTCTTATATTTAAGAACCACAGTTCAATTAACCTGCTTTATTTTTTAAACGTGTGTGTTTTCACCTTCAAATAGTTTTAATTTTATGTACGTAGGACACATTCAAAGCCATCTATAACCGTGGTGAGGAACCAAAAATCCGCCGTCATTCCATTCAGGTCAAGAGCGAAATCAAACCTCCTCGCGGTTCGTGTTGTCCCTATGATATGGGTGAACTGTGACGTCTTCTCAGTGCCATGAACGCATTTTATGATTTTGATATTGAATGAATTTTGACTGTCTGTCATCATACTTTGTTTGTTGTTTTTGTTTTCGTGGTTTTAGTATCGCGTATATTTGTTTTTTCAAACAAACCGACGTTTCGGACCCTTTACAGGTCCCATGGTCACGGTTGACTCAAACGAAAAAACGAACCGTGACCATGGGACCTGTAAAGGGCCCGAAACGTCGTCGGTTTGTTTGAAAAAACAAATATACGCGATTTAAATCCGGAAAAATAGTTTCATTTCCTATGTGTAACAATCGCGACAATCTAAGAACTGGATAAAGAAAACAATTTTTGCATAGTCAATTTTTGGTCCCTTACAATGTAATGATCCCTTCATGAAACTGAAAAATCGAGACCGCAGAAGTTGATCGAATTGAATAAAATTTTCCTCCCATATAATGAAATCATGCTTATAAGAAACTGAGTTGATGAGGCGTAAAAAAAAATTCGTTCAATTTTTTCATTTTTATTTACAACTCGCGCTTGCCCAAAAAAATTTCTTGTCCGATATTGTTTTCATAAAAAAAGGGTTAGTGGTTCCTAAGACAGTTTCCTCGTATCTTCTATGGTTTCGGATTTCTCCGTAATGTCCCATTTATAAAAACCACTCTGTATTTATACAGAGAGTATATATTTATAAATGCGAGTATTTACACTACAATCGAAGTTGCATTGTTATTTTTGTAAACTGTTTCGTACACTTGGTTAGAAGCTCCCATTTTATTTATTATGTCCTGGTAATACGCGTACTAAAAAAACTGTACACGTGTCATGAGGTCGCTTGTTAATTTGCATACGCGCGACGCACGGGTTCTTCTGTCCTTATGAAAAACGAAAGAAACATGCAGTTAACCTAAAATAATAAATATTTGTTTTCGTTCTTGGGAAACGCCATTTTTGTGGGTTTAATACACTTGCGGACACACAATTCGAGCCACCAAGCATTTGCAGTGTTAAGTGCCCTAAGCTTAAACAACGTTTGATTGAATCAAAAACTATTTATTCAACTCTGAAACTAGTATACTAAACGTCTTTTCCATATAAAGTCCAATAAATAATAAATAATATAAGTCCTTGTTAGCAATTTGGATTGCAAAACCGGGGGAAAACTTTTGCTTCCATGATAATACTATTTTTGTATACTAGCCCTTTGCGACAAAAATGCGAGTTGGCTCGAATTATGTGTCCGGGAGTATATTACGGTGCGACCATAAATAATCTCCAGTATTTATTTGTGCATCGTACAGTTTCTTTGTGTTGCATGTTCTTTCACAGCGAGGTTACTTATTTTTTGTTGATTACATAGTCCATTAGTGAAACGGGGAAATCTTGCAATTTTTTATTACTTCATTCCGGACATTATATTAGTATTTGAAAAAGTTGCTTTCTGGCCACCACCGGTCTAAGATTGTTTGATTGCGGATTATAATCGAAACGCAGCGAACGAAGAGTTTCTGTTTCTGTTAAGATTTACTTTTGACATATTATGTTTCCACTATGACACTTTCGTTGCATCAACTAGTAAGTAGTCGAAGAGTTGGGTAGTCTGCAAACTGTCCTGGTTACAATATCAGGTCAAGGTTTACCATATTACTGTAATGTCATCGGAGGTCCATAGTCCACCAAATTTCAAGTCGATCGAACTAGTAGTGTGTGAAATGAAAAAGTGTAATTCCTAAACTAACAGGGAGAACAGCTGATGATTTTTGTAAACAGATGCTCATCAAACATAGCTAAGAACCATCCTGATTAAATTAACCTTTAAACAAAAAAACAGTTTGAGACGATAGATACACAAAGGCTTTCAAAGTCCACTTGTTTTGCGTAGCGTCGGGGTTATAGATAATAGTCTGCGTTTGTGTACATTATACAGTCAACAAGCTCACACACTTGTACTCATTTATCTGTCGTTTTTGGTTTATGTAGTCCTGGTATTGTGGACAAAATATGACGTAACAGTTTATGTTCGAACCCGAACGAACTTCCTTCCTCATCAAGACTTTCGTGGAGATCATTGTATTTTATTGTATACTATTTCGAATTGCTCACTGAATGTATTGTTGTTTGGTGGCTTTTAAAAAGCTCTTTTGAACCTGTCATGCATGCACCCTTCGGTTCGTTCGATCACAGCACCCCAACAGCGTCTGTGGCAGTCAGCTACGGCATATTTTTAATTTACTGTGTTCCGGTTTTAAAGGGTAAGGGTGCTGGTGAAATTACAGGCACATGAGACTTATCAACGTACGTCTCAGGGTGACAGGCGCATTAGCAGTACCCCTTAGAACTTTGCGATTTAAAGCTCTAAGTGGCACTGCAATTGTTATGGACAAGCGTGTAGCTTACCATCAGGCGCATGACTTGTTCGTCCCGTCACTTGATATTATTATAAAAAAAATAGGTATATATATATTTGAATGACTTACCTAACTAGGGATGGAAGTATGGAAGAAATAAACTTTTCATTTTAAAGTATTTATTGACAGCACACTTCAGTTCTGGGCACGCCATCTATGTTGAAGTATACGCGTCTATTTCAAATGGTTTTGTGGTTTTATCCACAGCAGTTTTATCACTACAAAACACCATAAATATTCTATTTATTTGTCAAGAGAAAAAAATAATTATTCATTTTCATGCTTATTAACCATGAAATAGTTCAATCATCGCTTTCATGCTGTGTAAACCCGTCGTAGTAAGAGTGACTTAAGACGCTACCGATACCGGTACAATGCCGGTGAACACGATTACCAGGGTGGCATATTTCATAGAATGGATGGATTATTTATATTTCGGTAGACACTAGGTTCCAATACGAATAGTATGTATACTTACTATAATAATATTATATAATAAATAAATACTTGTAAAATTTTCGTACTCTTGTTTCGTCGACTTTTACTGGGAAAGTATAAATTTGTAGATTTCTTGTTTTCATAAGTTCATAGCTCTACAAAACGGTTGACCAAACTTTATTAGGAAGAGATACATATATATAGTCGGGTGCAACACCACACACTGCGATAATTTAGTGTTATTTATTACGAGCATAAAATAGATACATCAATTTAAGTAATAGTAAATTCCGACCACTAAGAAATTGTTCATTGAATAGTTTTTTATATAGACCTATTTAGAAATACATAAAATTATTAACAATCCAAGAACAATCCATTATAATATTAATCTATTTGTTAGGTTACGCTAGCGACAAGGTGGACATTTACAGCGCTTCCTGGGGTCCTAATGACGATGGACGCACCGTCGAAGGACCGGGGCGTCTCGCCATGGAAGCGTTCGTACGAGGAATCACCAAGGTGAAATAACATCGAGTTGTATTGTAGAACTTGCAGTTACTTTATGAGATCCTGGTGGCAGTAAGAATGCTGTTGAGGTGTCGCGGTGGCGATAAATTGTTGCAAACTTACGACACGATAAGATAGGACTCGTGCGATAACACTATCCAATTAGTGGGTTTAATGAGGTTAAATGATAATATAATATTTGAAAGATAATAAATTTTTAATAGCGTTTTCGTCGTGAGAGACGACAAAAAAATGCCTCACGCTTGTTATTGGAAAGTTCCTATTTATTACTTATTTAATACTGGATATAAAAATGTATCCTAGTAAGTAGTGTTTCTTATTTTAATATTTCTACTAGCAACAGCCCTCATGCAAGGCTGTTTTTTTCGAAACATTGTCAATAGTTTTTCTTTTATTTTACTCCAGGGTCGTGGAGGCAAGGGTACGATCTATGTTTGGGCGAATGGAAATGGAGGAGGAAGCCAAGACAATTGTAACTGCGATGGGTGAGAATGTAAAAAAACTCATATAAGTTTACTGAGACTAAATCAAATAACAATTAAAGTACTAAAATTGAAGCTCGAAATTTGCGAAGTAAATAAACATTCGCCAACAATTTCCGTTCCATTTGGAAGTAGGTACTTATATCGGATGTGTAAATATTTTTTTATTTTAAGTGCTCAATAGTTGTGTTTATTTTAAATAATTGTTAGTAATTAAAAAGTCAAAGTTCATGGGCCCATCCTAATAATGACTGTTTTTTTAATTTTTGGAAGTACCCCTGAATATTTAAAATTACGTTTCGTTCCCATTGCACTCTGCAAGCTTTAGTTTTCAAGTAACAAATATATTTAGGTACTCGTCCAGCATCTACACTATATCGATAGGGAGTGCTTCTCAGCACGGGCTGTTTCCTTGGTACGGTGAGATATGCTCATCCACTCTCGCTGCAGCATACTCATCTGGTGCTTACAGAGATCAAAAAATTGTAAGTAAATAAACATATTTTCTTGTCTATTCTTAAATTTATGTAATTAGTGTTAAAAAGAGACTACTATATTTTATACATTGCGTTACGTAACAATATACACAAAATCAACGGGCACACGTACACATAATATTATATTCCTTGCTCTTTTTATTTATCGCGTGTAAATTGCAAACGTCAGAAAGAGATAAATATATTTTTGTGCTACAGGCAACAACAGATACGAGTGATTCATGCACACTAAGCCACACTGGGACGTCAGCTGCCGCGCCATTGGCCGCTGGGATTATTGCGCTCGTATTGCAGGCGAAGTGAGTCAGAGTCCAACATCTTTGCTATCTTTGATTTCCTGGTACATCGATCGGCACGGTCTGTTTGTCTCAATGCCCCGTGGGAGTACCAACCGGTACCGCAGCTGCAACGCGGACACACTTTCCCCCTCCTACATACCGTAGTGGACATTTTTGTAAATTGTATAAAATGTCTTGTTTGCTTTTATTGCAGCCCCAATTTAACTTGGAGAGACGTGCAGCATTTAATTGTTTGGACATCCGAGTATGCCCCATTGTCGCATAATCCAGGATGGCAAATAAATGGGTAATTAATTGTGTTTCCCACCAAAGGTGTTTACCGTGCGCGTATTGTAGTTATTTGTGTAATATCAGTAGGATTTTCTACTCTTCATTTTCCATTTTTTATTTTCTTTACCTTTTTATTTAAATTTCCAGAGCGGGAATGCGATTTGACGTGCGATTCGGTTTTGGTTTACTGAACGCCGGTGCTCTCGTATCAACCGCACTCAACTGGACCACTGTCCCACCGAAGCGTCGTTGCCGTATCGAAGGTACTCCGTAAGTATGTCAGCCTGGTATTTCTGTCGTTCGCTTTCAATCGGTACGTTGACCGAGTCGCGCTCGAACAACAATCGGTCTTTCTTTCCCGTCTTGATTTGAAACTCTGTATGTCTATGTAGCCTTGGTGCAATATTCGTTAAGTTTCAACTGACGGAATCTAACGTTCCGCAATAGTGATTGTGGTAATCGAATATACCATTATAACAAGAGCCACCATACCTTAGAAATCGACTTAGAACAATGGTTTTAATTCTTTGGTTCGATTCTTATACGATTTCATGTTCAGTCTCACTCGCAATATCCATCGTAATTCGCAACGAAACGTCTGAATGACGCAGAAATGTATTCCCTGTGCAAGATATGGCGCTCTGGTAATATGAGCGTTCATTCCGACTTTGTGAGAAGCACTACGCAGCCAATGTCTCCAAAACCAAATTGTTAAGATCTCTGCTGGCATACTTACATTGCGTTCGACTGTCTCTTGCTACATTAGTTATGGTTCTAGTTTTATCTACAACGTAGGTAAGTGAGAAAAATATTGAAAGAAACTTGTTTTTAGGCTTACCGAAGCGGAAGGCGGCATATCAACAAAGGATCCTGTTGATATTTTCATAAAGGTCGTGGATTGCTCTATAAATTACATAGAGCACGTAGAATTTGTCGTCAATATACTATACAGTCGACGCGGGGCGCTACAAGTTCATTTAGTATCGCCACGTGGTAAGATAAAATATTCTTTATATTTCATGTACGCCTGGTAGTTTGCCTGAAATGTTGCGTCAAGTCCAAGAACTATTGGGGTAACTTTGAACTACCTCAACAAATTCATTTTCCTTATCGCTATTGTTGTGTCATTTATATAGTCTATATACGTAATTATTTTTATTTGTTAAATACACTTCCAGACACATAAAGGGCTAAATAAAACATTTAAAAATATTGCTATCATCGAAGTTTTTCCCTTGGTATTCAAATTTAAATTTTCAACAATGACTTATGGAAATGAGGTTTAGTAAGTAATACCAGTTATTTACTAGTTGCTGATCAATCAAACATAGGGAATCGAAATATGTGTCCGGGAGTGCGTTTAGAAATTCAATATTTAGGATTCTTGTAAAGCCCTTTCTTTCTTTCAAAAGTCTGTTCTTTGGCTTATAAAACCCTAAGTTTCTCTAAATTAAAAAAAATGTTATATGATAGATAATGCTTTCACTTAAATTTTTCAAGAGGATTTCAATAAAATTAGTTCATTGCATGTTATTTGCAGGCACAAGGGTCCAACTGCTGAGTCCCCGACCTGGCGATAAATCGCGAGCCGGTTTTGCGAATTGGCCACTGATGTCAGTTGCTACGTGGGGAGAGAGCCCTAACGGTTTCTGGAAGGTTACAGTTGCAGATGAGGTAAATAATAAATACGTCACATTCTTATATATTTAAACATTTTTTCGTTGTTTTTTATAGTTTGTTCTATAATTTACTTATAAAATGAAAATTTTTGGTGTTGTCGCCTTGGGAATGATGAGTTGTTGTGATTTATTACTATAATTCCTTAACAGCAACATGCATAAACAGAAGTTTTTTTTTTTTATAAAAAGATAAATTTTAGAATGAACTGAACAGAATCAAAGACTCATTATTATCGGCATCCAGTTTTAATAGAGATCACGACAGTAATTTCACTTGTCTATTTCAGACAGACGAGAACAACATTGGTTTCATTGGACCGTTCGAGCTGATAATTCACGGGACTGTAGAAATGCCTGAACACATGAAAAACGGACCAAGGAAATATAGCGATGAATACGATTACAAACGGGCATTTAAATATTTTGATAGTTTGAATGACGTGGCCTTATTATCAGGTGATTATGATAACCACAATGCAACTATAACAGCGCATGACTCGCAGAACGTTAATGATGTAATATTGAAAATCGCTGATTCCGGTATCTTCAACCAGGTAGAAGAAGAATTGCAAAGGATCCATCACGGTGAAAACGTGCTTCAAAACGCTGATGTATTTGTAAATCCGTACATGCCCATATGAAACAATTTATTATTTTAAAAATGCTTTAAAATGCCATGTACGGTTTACACAGTGTGTTGTCCTTGATCTCCATTTAATGTGATAAGTAGAGTAGGAAAGCATCTTTAGATTGCAAATTAATATTCCTCAAGATAATGCTTTTTGATGGACACATATCTACTAAAAACCAATATACATAGTAATTTCAATTAATAGAATCGTAAGTATACTGTTGTAATAACGATTTGTAAACAAAAATTTTATTTTATAGGCAACGATTTGTAAACAAAAATTTAATTATATAGGCAACGATTTGTAAACCAAAATAATTATTTTAAGAGCATGACGTTGTGTTTCATTTATGGCTAATTAGCTTTTCATACAGTTTGAACATTTTAGTTCCATCTCTTTGTATGCTTTGATCGCCTGGTAGTTCCGTGGGCAACTTTGAAATGACGTGGACTTTCCGAGCGCCCAGCTTGCTCCACCTGCCGCCGCCGCCGCCGCCGATAATGATAATCGTGAGGGACTGAGGAAGGAGGAGGAAGGAAGGAACGAAAAAAAACCACGTCGATCGTGGAAACAAGATCTTTGGTCGTTTTTAAAAATTTGTATCAATACCAAGGGAATAAATAGACACAGTACCCGTTATTTCTGAATTATCTAAAATGAATTTGTTTCCCTCTTCGATCAAAAGGAAAAAAGATGTTATTCCCACTTGGCAGTCTATTTCACTCTATTTCTCTAATCTGATATTGCTTCTTACCACCAGAGGTCGCTGGTTATGTATAATCAAGTTGATGATTAAAAATGATTATTCCATTATACGGAAATAGAATTATGTATAAACCAAACCAATAAACCGTACTAGACTTTATACACACTCGCTAATTAGTCATAAATGTCAACATAGTGGCCACGCCTCTTTACGAGATCAGAGTACGTATATTTCCCTATGTTACAGCAAATTGCCGTAATATACGTATTTTACTACTGATTGAGTACATGTATTTTATGTCACCCTAGTACCTTCATGTTTTCCGTTCGATGAAATTCCAATTTCTGTCGGTGTGCTGGCGAGCGGCCGCGCCGCGGCGTACAAACTACCAACAATGTTATCGATGAAGTTTATAAATAGCGTTCTTTCTCATTTTTTTGGTGACAAGTTTTTCCTTCGTGGAAATGAATTTGAAAATTTGAAAATGAATTTGTGACTGTGTAGCGCTAATCATCAATAGCCTACACAGTCGAATAATAATTTCCCCAACCGAATAATAAAAGAATTAACAAGTACATATTGTCCGTTATTGTATATTTTTTACGTCGCTTTTATTTAACTTTTTTAGATCACTTTTCAGAATGGCCATAAAAGTATCTATCATCAATCGCTTTTATTAAATAAAAGTATCAATAGCTTTTATTAAATAAAAGTCTAAATTTCACAAGTCCAATTTCACATTTCACACTTTTCAATTATGCTATTTTAAATTACAGACACCGTGTTTTAAATGTGAAATTTTTATTCACGAATAAAAATTAAACACTCCGTTTAGGTTAAGAAATTCCTCCACTGCTTTAGATTTCAGAAAGTCCAATTTACATAATTGAATGCTTTATTTTTTGTTGACATTTACGTATTATTAAAGATACAACTTTCTTCCACGAGCATTTGAACATTTAAAAAGTTTTTTTTTGCCTTGGAAAATAATTATATTACGGATTTATTTCGTTATAGTACAATAATTATTATATTTGAAGACATTAACTAGCTTTATCTGCTGGTTGATCTTTTGTTCTATGGGAAAATTGCAATAGTTACCTGTAACCTAATTTGAATTTGCAGAACTTTTGATATAAAATTAAAAATAGTCAGTATACATACGAAATAGAACGGACGTATCTGTACTTCCTTATCTATATACAAACTATACGGTAAAATAAAAAAGAAACTTCATTTGACTTATGCCGTTCTTCCATTGTGTATATTATCAACGAGTTTATTATTCTGCTCTAATGTCATGTTACCTTGGTAAATCTATGTTCTTCGTCAGATGTTCTTTTATAAATAATATTTACTGTAACGTAACAACAGGACTATCGCCCTCTACTATGTTGCCGCCTATTTTGCCTGTGTCTTCGAGAAGATCGTAGTTTGTCCACTGAACACGAGGTGGCATTGAATGAGTATATTGTAGTACATTTTAGCTGCTGTGACTTTATGGCATTCTAGTACGCTGAAACTCAATTTTGTCCAATGAAATCCTCGGTGTGTTGCGCCACCGTCTCCCGATAAATGGAGATCTAAATGTTTATGAGCTCTGTATTCGTTTCACTCGTTAGCCTATAGAGACCTTTAAATTATGGCTGGTCTGTTGTTAGTAGTAGTTTACCTACTTGTTACAAGAGGGCGTAGAGAACGTGACTGAGTGAGTTTTATTTTTAATTATACCTGTTTTATCGGTCTGCGTTCTCAGTCAATAGGAGTTTAGTAAGACAATAATTGAATTCTTGTAATATTTTTTTTTTATGAATTATTTTTTATTTATTGAGTCAAATTATGAACCCTGTTAAGCTTTTATAAGTTTGAGGTTTCACATATTTATTCTCATAAGAATTTACAATTCACTTAAATGAGAACTTATCGACTAACTAAAACATTAATAAGTATATTTTGCATACGCGAACGTGCTGCGCTCTTCTTAATTAATAGTAATAACTTAAATATGTTTACTTATAGTGATAAAAAATAATTAGGCTACGATAAAAAAAAAGGAACACTGAACACATAAAAATTTGATTGAAATTTGTTTTTGTTTATTTTTATGTGGGTAAATTTTAAAACATTACTACAAAAACCCAACCAGTACGCCGATGAACCAACAAAGACAGGGAAACCTATTACACAGATCAGCAATAACTAGATGTGATAACTTTTCGAGTACAGATTTATGGTACGATATGTTTTACGTGTTGTTGTTCATTTTATTATTTTGGTCAAATAAATTTTGAGTAACTTTTTGAATTTATAGGTTTTTTTAGTTTTAGGTAGTCTGTCATAGATTTTAGCACTTTCATATGTAATATTTCTTTTGCCATAGTTTGTTCTAGGTTTCGCAACGCAAACGTAAAAAAAAAAAATTTTAAACGCAACACAAGTTTATTTGCATTTCTCAAACGCTTCGATTGGGTATTTCCGTGTTTGTATTTAAAAGTAATATTTGTATGTATTTCTTTAGATATTATTTTTCGTATCAGCAAGCATGAGTAATATTTATAAGTTGTAATAACATCCAATAATTTTGTTTCCTTATATAATTTTAAAGTAGGGGTTAGATAACCATAATTAAATAATCATTTAATAAATTTAATTTGCTATATTTGTAGTATATTAAGACTACTTTCAGCCGCTGAACCCCAGATTTCGATCAAATAATCAATGTGTGGCTTCACCAATGAGTTATATATAGTACACCGTACATTGAGCGGTAAGCAACGAACTATGCCGCGGAGAGCGCCATTTAAAGACGTTAATCTTGATTTAATAGGCGTTTAGAGGCCTAAGTATTTCTCATTATCTGAGTTTTTTATTATTTTATTGTTAATGGTAAGTGGTTCGAATTTTGATATCACTTTGTTTTTGGCACAGAAAATTACATAGTGCGTTTTGGCAACAATAAGTGTTAACAGATTGCACTGAAAACACACATTGAGAAGATCAAGATCTTTCTGGGCATATTGTGCAATTGAAACCATATCGCACCCGAAATAAAATAGGCTAGTATCGTCACCGTACAACGACTGCCAACAACCCTTTAAGTTCAAGTTTACTTATACTATTTATGTAAATTAAAAATAATAGGGGTCCTAAAATCGATCCTTGGGGAACACCACACGCGTTAGGAGCTGAAGAGCTTTAGTAATCTCCAATCTTAACTATTTGTGTGTGACCTGTGAAATAAGATGCAAAAATATTATAGCGTTCCCAGTAATACCTATGTCGTTGAATTTGTTCAAGAGAATGTCGTGGCTAATAGTCTCAAACACTTTTTTGAGATCGTTAAATATTCCGAGACCAATTTTCTTTTCATCAAAGCTGTTTTTTAATTTGACTAGATCTACAGTTGCGGATAGCGTATTGGATTTGGGCCTAAATCCATATTGTTTGTCGTATAAAAAATCAATTGACTTTAGGTAATCTTATAAGCGATATAATAATTTTTTTTTTCAAATATTTTGAACATTATGGGAAGCACAGATATAGGGCGATAATTATTAGTATCAGATTTAGTTCCCGATTTATAAATAGGTGTTACTTTGGCAATTTTTAAATTATCAAGAAACGTACCTTGTTCCCGGCAGCGGTTTATATATACTGCAAGTTGACCAGATATTTGGTGCTTGATGCATTTAACGATTTTTGTAGTTACATGGTCGACACCCGAGCTGGTGTTTGTTTTCAAATTATTGATTACATTTAAAATTTCACTTGGTGTCGTTAGAATTAAAGACGACAAGCCAAAACACATTTTATTGTTGTCAACAATCGCACCAGTATGAGTCTTGTCAATATGGTACACTCTAGGGATAGCTTGTGCCAGTTTTGCACCAACAGTAGAAAAAAGTCATCAAAACATTGGCATATCTGATTTCCATTTGTTATAACTGCATTACCTATCTCTAGTTTTGTTAGTATTGATACTTCTTTTATTCTATTATGAGTAAGACTATATATTAGATTCCACATTTTTTTGGCATATTTTTACAAACAGAAAATCGATTGTGATAGTATTCATTTTTCATTTTCTTTATTTCGCCCGCTACTGTTCTATACTCTTTCATAAAATCTTTCTTAGGTTTGATATCGTCTGGAATACTTTTATGTAGTTTATATAGTGAATTCTTTTCGATTAATTTTTTCAAGTATCGTTGCATTTATCCAATCTTGCTTTGCCTTTTCTTCAAATATATTATACTCGTAATTCATAGTACTATTCATACCTTCCTGTGCTAGTGTCTGCAGTTTAACATAGTCTACTGATTGATATTGCACTTTACGCTACTGTGGTGGTTCATATTTCTTCATTTAAAAAAAAATCTGCTTATGGTCCGACATTGATGATTCGATAATAGCCAAATTAAACTGGTTTTCTGTTACATTTGTGGAGATGTGATCTAATATGGATATTTTCGTCGGTGTTTCACGGGTGCAATACTTAGGTGTGATTTTGTTTATTATTTTGTATCCATTTTCTTGTAGCGTATCCTTATAACATTCCACTGATATGTCAGGTTCTAGTCAATTTAAATTAAAATCACCGGGAACTGCCACCCTGTTCCTCCGATTTAGTTGATAGGAAAGTGTGTCAAGAAAACTTTTGACATTTGTTCGACCTGGTTTATAGACTGCTCCAAACTCCAAAGAGAATTTCGTTAAATGAATCCATATATATTGTCTATCATCTTGACTAATTTCTTCAACAATATGGTGTTTTAAGTTATTTACAGCAAATATTGAAACTTCACCACCCACAGTATCTCGCCTATATTAGTAGTGATGTGTATAGCCTAGTATCTGGATTCGTTTGGCTTCATCATCTGACTTAATCCATGTCTCTACTAGCACTATAATTTGTATTACTGGTGTCATAGACTTAACAATACAACAGAGTTCATCAAACTTGCCAGGTGTTACAATGCTACGAGCATTTGCATACCGGAATTTCAGGGAATTTTTCTTATATGTGAGATCATCATACTTGTTGAGGACTTGATATGTTGTTATTATATCATTCTGGCTACTATAATTGAAGCTAGTAGTAGCTAGTAGTAGTTAGTAGTTTTTTGGGGGGGCGGCGAATATCTGGGGCGCACCTTTGACGTATTTTATTATAAGGTTGCTTTCTCCTCCTTCTGTCCTGCGATTAAGTTCGTCCTTCAGCGTTTTAAACTTTGTTTGTTGGTACGGTGTCTGATCAGCAAAGATTTTTATCATTGTGCTTTTTAACTTATTTTTATTTCTGATTATATGTATATTTAGCTGTTTGTTCGGACTCAAAACATACTTTAATAGCGCGGTTTTCACCAGATTTAAATTTACCAACACGTATTATTTTAGTGTGTTCTGGGATGTCGTCTGAAATCATACTTACAGTTTTAGCTACTTCAGCTTTATCTAGGCTTCTTCGTTCGTCAATATTATTCGATTTGATTTCTGGAATTCCGACTATCAAAATGTTCTTTTTTCTGTTGTTTTGGTCGTTCAATTCAGCCATAATATTATCATACAGTGTTATGTCACGCAGGACGGATTCAGTTGTATACGCTTGAAGTTTATGCACATCTGATTCCAGTGACGCAACCCTCGTATCGGTTGTATGAACGGAGTCGGAAAGATTTTGGATTTCAACTTTCATTTCTGTCTGCTCAATAGCTAGACTTGACGTTTTTTGGTCAGTTATTTCCATACCCTTTGTAATATCCAGCATTTGGTCCTTGATAACTGCAATGTCGCCTCTAATCTTTGCTGCACTCTCATTTTGTGCATTTATAGATGCAGTTAACAATGACATCATTTCCGTCATTCGGTTTTGGATATCTGCCAATTTTGAGTGCACTTCATCTTCATCACCGTGTTTACGCTTGTTGCGAAACGAGATAGTTGATGAACCAGCAATATACCTTAATGACTCACTCGCTGTGGATAAATTTGGTTGAGACGCACTTCGTCGGATGTTCGAGTCACTTCTAGTAGGAGAGCGCAGTATGCTCATGTTGGTTTACGATAGTAGTGAAGGCGGTCGAGGTAAATATGTATATATACGCTTTGCTGCAAGAGCGGGACAAAAAATAATAAAAACATAGGCGGTATCTTTTTACTGGAAGGTGTGAGGGGCGCTTTCTGCAACTTTGACACAACGCCTGGGACCGAAGTGTAGCAAGGAACAAAGCACTTCACAGTGTAACTAATGACTTATGCGGTTAATAGAAAGTTGAAAATAGATTGTAATATTCACAATATTCGATTTAAATGAACACAAATTTTTGCGACACGTCTTCTTTGCACGCTCGTTCGGACGCGAAAAAAGTTGTTGTAAGTTTGTTGTAAAAAAAGTAAAATTATGAATTATATCCACTCAACCGACACATTTTTAAAGAAACTGTTTACATCTGGGAGAGGATAAAACATAATAATTCAGTTTGTTTATAACATTTAATACTTTATTCGTTATATAACATGTTCTCGTAACTTTAAGAAAATTGTATTACATTCTCCGTTTACTAAGTTTATTACATAATGACTGAATGAGGAAGCAATAATCATCTTTCAAAAGAAACTGGAGATCACTATATCCGCAATAGTTATCACATTAAAAGGCAAGAAAGCATAGATAGGTACGTGTACCATGAGTGTACCTTACTTTGCTTTAGATATTAAGTATATTTACGCAAAGAGACTTAAAATAAATAAATAACCTAACAAATTGAATATACAAGAACTTAAACATTATTACGTGTAAAATCCGCATCTTTAGCATTACAATTAACATCTCAAAATTCAATAGGATATTTTTTATTAATCATCATCAACGGCAAATCCTAAAGCTCTCAATTCCTCAACCATAAAATCGTCTTTATATTTATTAATTTTTGCTAACCATTCCTCAGTAGAAATTACTTGCGGAATAGTAGTTCCTCCATACTCAGGAGGCAAGTACTTAGGATCTATGTATTTGTGTAACGAGCTCATATCGTTGCCGTGGAAATGGAGTCTGTCCCACGCAGCACTTGGGATAAACTGCTTGAAGACGTAGAAGAAGGTATTTAGTATCCAGCTGTAGTTGACGATGTGGAGTCCGTGATTCGGTAGTGGGAAATTTACCTGTGAATTTATGAACGCCTGGTAAGTTCGGTTGTCGATAGGCCGCTACGCGAGCGGAAAAACATGATTGATGTGCTCGATGACGAATCTTTTCTAACCAACTTCGAAATAAGGAGGAGGTTTTCAATTGGACAGTATTTTTTTTATATATGTTACGCGATAACTTATATGCCTATACTTTTGTGTTCCCTTTTGCAAATCGTGTACCAAAAAAACCGACCTCAAAAGTTCGTGGAATTATTTGCCCAGTTTTATTGAAATTGGTTAACGGAAAGTGCGCGAAACCGGATTCATTTCCTAGTTTGCCACCCTTAGAGGTGGAATATATTCTTCTTATTTAACTAGGACTAATACGGAGGTACCCTCTTTCCATCAAAAAACAATCATCAAAATCGGTTCACAAACACCGGATTAATCGCATAACATTAACCTTTTTTTGAGGTCGGCTATAAATAGAGGTGACAAAATACATCGGTTTATCTTTCAACTTACTCCCATCAAACTAACAATTTGACTGGCAATCGTCGGTGTCAAGTGCGTGACATGTCTCCAATTAAGTCCCTCCAGGTCCACGATGATGGTCACTCCCAAGATCTGCAAACGTGGTTGCATCACTGCAATTTCGTCCATGGCTAATGCGCAGCGGACTACATCCACGATTGGTACTGCGTCTGTATCCCATCTACCTGAAGATAGAACGGTAATGAGTGCGCAAGTTACATGGCTGTACTAGACCAATGACAGTCTAGTTAGTATGCTTGTCGTTTGAGGTCTTGAGTTCTATGTATACCCACTTCATGGATAAGTATCTAAATTCGATTAAACATAGATAGCATATCTGTTTAGCGATATGTACAGATTTCTCGTTTCGATCGTCACGATAATCGATTTTTTATATTATTTATAATATCAAGCGACGGGACGAACTAGTCGTGCGCCTGATGATAAGCTGCACGCCTGTCCATAATAGCTGCAGTGCCACTCAGAGCTTTAAATCGCAAAGATCTGAGGGGCACTGCCACTGCGCCCGTCACCCTGAGACATAAATTGACAAGTCCCATGTAGCAGTAATTTCATCAGCACCCTTCAAAACCGGAACACAGTAATGCTGTTCAAGTGCGTTCAAGTTAATCGTTAACGATATAAACATACAATCGATTTGTCGTTTCGGTCGATCTGAAATAATGGATCGTGAAGACAAATCGTCCGTACATAAGTCCTTTCAAAGATTTATCACTTCTCTCAAAGCACGTCTACTACTAAGCAGAAAAAAAACAACTGCCGTGTCACTAAATAGGTACCTAGTGGAAGTCTTGATTTAGATCTGATTAATATTCTACATACATACACAATTCTTGCTGTCTGATCCACCCAATATATCTAATCTTCGAAGCTACTTACCGAACCTCATGAGAGTGATACGTCCGTTGACAGGGCTGTCTGGCATAATTCCTGCGTACACGTTTTTCACTTTCTGAAGTCCGAATATACTGCAATCGTACAAGTACGCATTCTTGCGACGAAACTGTTCGTAACGCACCATCTGTATTAAAAAAACCATAAATTACATCTAAGACTACATTAAATACCTATACAGATTCGTCCGATCTCTATCGTTTCGTAACAATCGCACCCCTCGTGGAAGAATGGCATAAGTGGAGTTACGTCAAAAAAGCTTATTTCTCCATATTGGATACAGAAAAATATAACCTATTATATCCTCTCCAATTCTTGTAAGTCTAGCGACTAATATTGTACATATATTATTGTTGTAGATAGAATTACAAGAATTGGAGAGGATGTGAGTTATATTTTTAACCAACTTAAAAAAGAGGAGGTTCTCAATTCGATCGAATGTCTTTTTTTGTATGTATGTTACGCAATAACTCCGGCCATTTGTGAACTGATTTTGATGATTCTGTTTTGTTGCAAAGAAAATATTCTACCTCTAACGGTGACAAATAAGGGAATAAATGACTTTTGAGGTCCGTTTTTTAATATTCTGTCCTGAGATTATTCTGTCTAATGGAGCAATAAACATGTTTGACGTAACTCCACTTATGTCATTCTTCCATAAGAAGTGTGTGTGAAACGCATATACCTGCCTGTGACTTGGGTGTCTAGGAGGGGGTTAGCGTCCAAGTTCAAATTTTGTGGATTTCAAAGTATAACTTTTTCCGATTCTAAGAAACCAGCCACTCAAAAGAATGGTCAATAACGTTTTCCGGAGGTATTGTATTTTAGCTGCTATTGAAAACTTACTACCAAGCATGGAGGCGATTAAGGTAATTCTTTCTTTTTAACCCACTTCAAAAAAGGAGGATCTTAATTGAGAATTATCAGGTATGTGATTATTCCGTCATTTGGAAACAGATTTCAATGATTCCCTTTTAGTTGGAAAGATGGTACTCACTTCAATAGTGGTCCTGTTCAAATTTGAAGAAAGCATTTCCCTCTATAGGTGGGAAATTAGGGGATGAATGATGTTTATTGGATTTCAGCCATTTACCGTTAACTGGTTTTAACCGAATTGAATAGGTACCACAAAAATATAACTACTATAATAATAATAATAATAATAACGCACACAATCAACATTGCCCCACACTAGGGAAACCCTGTGTCGCGGGTGTCATGGATACACGCATAGTCAACCACAAATTACACACAAACTCACAAGATAAATAAATGTAGGCCATGCAAATTTTCTCTTTTTTTTGGAGAAATTGGAGAATCGAACCTGGAACGTCTGCAGTTCGGCATGGTAACCGTTCCGCTATGAGATTACTATGACAGTTGTGGCTAGTTTAATTGACAAATTTATTTGGTAAATTTATAGCGCCCTCTAGTGGTCATGTGACTATACACTCATGGTAAAGGTACTGTTCTAAAGCTTATAGTATTTAAAAAAAAGAATTTATTCGACTGAAAGCTTGTATCACCTGACAAAACCAACATCTGTTAAGAAACTTTATGTACTTATACACTGGGGTTTTAGGTAGAAGAAGAAACTATAACACAGCGTTGGTACCAAAAATAAAAATTACTGCGGCTAGAGACAGAACAAATATAGAGTCTCATATCTATATAATAGTTTAAACAGAAAACTGGATCTGTACAAGAAAATAGTTCGTGAATGAAAGTTAGCAATTACAAAATGGCTCGAAACTAAGTCTTATGAGGAGATTGAGCAATTATTATTACAAGTTTGAAATATGTGAATAAATAAACAAGTAAACATAAAATAGATACTATAGCAGTATATACATAATGGCCTCAAGTCCTCATTATATGACTATAAAATTGTACAACAATCTACCAATTAACATTAGAGACATAGTAAAAGACACTGACTTTGATAAAACATTGAAAAAGCTGTTAATTAAAAAAGGCTATTACAATATAAATGAATATTTCTGTGATAAATATTTGGAGGAATAATAATAATAATACGACATTGCTGGAATTTATTTAAAATTATATTATGAAATTGCCTTTGACATTTATTTAATAATATTAAGACTATTACCTATTTTTATTTGTAAATACTTTTCATTCCATAAATATGATAATGTTGATATCTTTATGAATTGTTAATTTTTATTATATTTATTTTTTTTAATATTGAATGAATGATAGCTTAAGTACGTATTAACATCATAACGAATTTAATGCATGCATTGACATTGTTGATAAAAATTTGTTAGTATAATTTATAAATGCCCCTCTGTAATTTGCCATGCCCTTACAGGGCGTCACATGATCCTATACAATGACATAACACCTAAAATTGTATTTAAAAATGTACTGTAACTGTGACATGCAAATAAATGATTAGATTTGATTTGATTTGATAATATATATAATGTAAATAAACAATATAAATATACACAAAATTTAATCCACATATATGTTTATATAAACTCATAATACAACTGTTTAACTTCTTATATATGAGACAAGCAATTGAAATGATACTATTTAACATGGTATGACAATGTATAATTTTGGATATTGTACGTCTTACGGATGGATAATACACGTACTTGCAATTAATTCCACACAGTAACACTTAGGTCAATCCATTTTTAGTCTGAAAAGTTAATAATTACTGTAATTAATGAAATTCGTATTAGTTGTAACACCAGTTATAGTATATATTAAGGTAGTCTGTTTCATCATCTTAAAATAATATAAAAGCAAGATTACTATTAATATTACATAATAGCGATGTTTCCTAACACAGGCCCTAACAAGCCTAAATGGAAACATCCACCCCTGAACTATGCCCTTTATAATGAATGAATAAAACATTTTTATTTTTATTATAAAGCTATCAGCTCAATAGTGAATTAATTATAGATTGTAATAATAATAATAAGTGTATACTTAAAGCCCCGCACTAGGGAAACCCTGTATCGCGGGTGCAATGGACACACACATAGACAACCGCACATTACACTCAAACTCACGAAGAGAAATAAATGTAGGCCATACAAATATTTCTCCCGGCCCGGGAAGGGATCACTGGGTGGCTGGACAGTAATACATTTCTAGATACTTGGAACCGGTTGTTTTTCTCGAGAATCTGATTGCTTGTAATTACGTTCACTATCGTTCCTTGACATCAATAATTCCTTTCGAATGTTTATTCGGAATAGGCTGCCTACTACTGACATACTAGATACGACAAATGAAGTGTGAATATATAAACATACCCTTGATCTCTTTGATTTAATTTTGTAACCTTGACGTCATTCAAATATTGGATTACGTTGGAATAGACTAATATATTTTATCTTCTACTTTAGTGTCGATACTATCTCAGCTCTGATGCACGGGTCGAGTGGCAGGGACACTGGCTTTATTTAAGATTTTTTTACAAACGAAATTAAAGCTATTTTTAAGCGAAATGAGAAAGATGTCATGTAGGTACTATATACGTGTACTATTAAGTTCAGTTGACATAAAAAACAATCATTGGTATATTGGTGTGTTAACGCCCTATAAGTTCGGACACTTTTTAGCGCGGACCCGACGTCCATATAATTGTAAGTCAATGAGAAATAGTGACTAAAAATGCAAATAGCCGGTGGAATGTTATGTCACTGGTTTTAAAATTTTTGTTTTCACCATTAACTTACAATTATATGGACGTCGGGTCCGCGCTAAAAAGTGTCCGAACTTATAGGGCGTTAAAATCGTATACAGAGCGTCATTCACGCTTTAGTCTTCGTTTGTTCGACTGACAGCGAAGCAAGCAAAATTAGACAGTACTGCGATGACATTACAATTTAAATTCAACGTTTTAGCTTTTTCATATTCCTTTAAATGTCACTATGTTTAAATAGGTTGACTTGGGACATTTTTTTTCGTGGTTTTTGTATTAGACCCGTCGTCCATTTATTTGTAAGTCAATGGTTTTCACTCTAATTTTTACAAGGTGTAACGCTACAACTTGGCATTTTCACGTTTTACGAGAGATCTTGTATGTACAACGATCGCCATGTCACTGTGGCGATGTTTGTAGGCGTGTCACCTCGATGTGGTCATTTTGACTAAATCGAGGCGACGCGAACCACGCCCCCATACCATATCATCCCTTTTTTTCTATATCTATGGCATATCCTCAATTTTACTATATATTTTTTGCAAAGTGATTGATTCAACAATTTGATTGTTATGCGGAATCAACCAAAGCCATTTGAAGTTGTAGGAAACTGGAACTACGACCCTAATGGCAGGGACTTGAGTATGATTTCGAGTGCTTTAAACCATACTCAAATCCTGACTTGAGCATTGAGTAGTGTTCTAGAATACGACCCAGGGTCGTACTCAAGTCAGATTAGGGTCGTACTTCCAGTGCTTGTGTTTCCAGTGCAATCCTGACTTGAGCATTGAGTAGAGTTCTGGAATACGACCCTTAATCTTCTACTATTCTACTTACTGTCTCCGTGGCCGAACCGTTACCATGCTGGTCTGCCACGCAGTGGTGCCAGGATCGAATCCAGGGCCGTGAAATATTTGTATGCCCTACATCTATTTATCTCGTGAGTTTGGGTGTCATTTGTGGTTGTCTATGTGTGTGTCCATAGCACCCGCGACACAAGGTTTCCCTAGTGCGGGGTATGTGCGTTATTATTAATATTATTAGAGCTTCTTGTGTAAGTTCCCCTAGGGAAGTTCTGCGACTATACGCTCTCTATGGGACTTGTGCACATTACGTCTCAGGATGATACAGGGGCGTAGATTTTTGCAATTTAAAGCTCTGAATGGCGCTGCAATTGTTATGGCTAGATTGGACGCTTACCATCAGGCGTACGGTTTGTTCGTCTCGTCACGTAATAATTTCTTTAATTTTTTTATATATATTTTATATACTCTTAAGGTAGTATTTCTGACATATTTTAAGGTTACATTAAGTACGCATTTGACCTCCATCTTACCTGATGGAAACTAACGATAAGGGTTGGAGCATGCCATGCACACCTAAATAATGTCTATGGATTCTCGCCTTGAAAAGGCCCAAATTACAGCGTTCAGGGAACAAGCAGGCAGTGAATTCCACTACAATGCCATGTAAATGTGGAAGCGTATCGCTTCTTGCGAGTCGTGGGAACATCCACAGCGTAGGGAATCCTAGCCTACGCCTAGTCCTCAGATGATAAAGGCGAATAGGCAGGAGTAAGGCAGTGTAGAACGAGGCATTGCGCCATGTCTAACATTATGTGACTCTGTAGCCTTGAAATACACCAACTATTTAAACCAAGGACTTTAGTAGATTAAGATTTTTTACAGGATATAAAGCCAGGTTAAGACTGAGCATTAAGGTCGAGTACGAAGCTAATTATTGAGTGCCAGAAAAAATTATACAGCAAAGTAAAGATGTTAGGCAATTTTGTATGTTTTTATTTGAACGTTGCTTCATCTACGGATGGCATTATCTCGAACTCATCATTAGTACGAAATTGATGGTAGTCAGTAGTAGGCAATACTTTATAACATGATTGAAATTTGTACCTTATTATCCGGTGTTGTAAAGACACTTTTATTTACTAGTAAATAAACGGAGATTTGTGCAAAAAAGACGTTTAATGAAATCGAGTACCATCTTTTTAGATATGGACAATTTACGCTAATTTGCACTCTTTGCAGGTTTTAAATTAGATCATAATGAAAATCATGATAAAAAGAGTGGGAACTCTGTTGGGAATCCTGACTTTTTTTCTGTAGTGTTTCTTCATTCAAAACAACACAGTATTGTACGTAAAGCGTAAAATAACGCAGTAGGTACATCCTCAGGAATCCCACAAACATGATACGACAAGGACAAAGGGAATGTTACGAAGGTTTGTTTGTTTGGAAGAGATGGATGTTAATAGAATAACGATATAAATTTATAAAGCGAAAATTTATAGATTTCTCAACCTCGGGATTTTTTTATGACACCAAGTGACAGGAGTCGTGTGCCTAGTAGTAATCGACACGCCGTTCGTGTTTTTATAATACTACCAACTAACACCCCGCTGCTAACCAGAAATCTTTTCAAAAAAGGAGTACCTATATTGCATGTTATGTGGAACGTTTCTTTACGCATTTTCTAATTTTATTGTTGATATGCAATGAATTTATTAGGAGTTTGCGGCTCAAAACGGAAGTTACAGAGCGCGAATTGAAATTAGAAAAATAAAATTTAAAAAAATAAAATTTTGTTTTTAAATTTCATCATAAAAAAAATAACATACAAATTGAGTTTTTAGGCTTCCGGGATTTTAAGTAGTGCTATATTTTTCGCTTATATTTGTTTTTTCAAACAAACCAACGTTTCGGATCCCATGGTCACGGCTGACTGTCATTTCATTACCAAAACATACAAGTTAATAAAAAAACTAACACCTATGTAAATGTGACTTCTCTACAGAGAACTATAGAGTACATTTAGCCCTCGCTGACATTTTGGTGCAGCCCAGATTGATAAAAGAACACATTAAAAATTAACAAAAACACACTTGAGCCATTTAATTAAAATACAACCAAAAATTTAAAATATTTCAGGAACACATAAAACACAAAAAATAAACTCTGAAATTGCTTGTCAAATAGCTATTGTGAATATCGACAACGACTGAGACAGTCAAGTGCAATCTCCTGTGGAAACTGTTTGACTTCCAACTTATTTCCTGCTTACCAGCGTCCTAAAGCCGTTGCTGAAATCAACTTGGAATTCTATACATCAGAAGTATCGACTGTCATAACACATTTCCTAGAAATCTATTTGGTTCTTTACGGTAGATCGAATAGAATTGAATACGTTTAGGATTTAAATAAAAATCCAGAAGCAGAAAATCGCTTAACGAGTGACGATACGTTAGGTCAATATCGATGACGATACAGAAACTGTTATAGCAGTAACTATTATAATAATATTGAAAATAATTCTAAACTAGAAATCGAAATTGGCGTGAAAGTAAAAAAATATCTGTTTAATAGATTTCCAGTTTTATAACTCGGGCTCAAAATTCGATTAGACAGTTGTAGAATGGTTCTAGTTTTTGTAGTGTCTTTCCAACTATTAGAAAGTAGGCGCTTGCCAAAATCGTATATCGTGATGCAAGTGACAGGAGTGACAAAATTACGGCAATTTGTGTGTGATTTCTTTGTAACTGGAACGATAAACATTATGCAGTTTGAAGTAACGTTTAATTCCATTTGAAAAATTGATCCGCTATAACTTTCAGTTTTACAGGCTTGTCGTATTATTCGTTAATAGGATTTTGGATTAATTCTGTACAGTTATATTATTTGTATTACAATATTCTTTACAACATTATTTTCACGGGTTTCTTGGTTCATAATTAGAATTTAAAAACGATCTACAATGAGTAGCGCAGCCACCAGTCTCTACAGAACGGAGATCGCGCATGATTTTATTTGTAAAAAACGTCGTATGTCGTGATGTGAGTGACGGAGACAGTGGAACGGAGTGCAATTTATGTAATTTTAGAACGTCGTTCCTTCGTAAAAAGTCACGGTGATACTATTTGACGGCTGATCACTGTTATTTTTCGCTGTGACGTGACCACCCATCACTATGTGTATGTGCATTGCCGGTCTAAGTCGGAAGGTAAGTCTAGCTTTCGTTAGATACTGCGACTGACATCTTCGGTATTAGTACAGAGAACTAGTAGAGGATAAGCTAGATATCAAAGAATTTTAGAATTGGAGAGAAGCTTCGGCGTCGGGAGGTGAGCGTGCGGACAGATCCGATATCCAAGCGGAAATTTGATTTAGGGGCAACGACTTAGCGGTGGCAACCGCTAGCCGTGCAATGCACAACGAGAGGTGAGTGGGCCAACAGCTCCGGTACCTATCTGGACAATATGGAGGGTGCTGTATGTGCACCAGATGTAGGAAATGAAATTATTTTTCCGGATTTAAATCGCGTATATTTGTTTTTCAAACAAACCAACCAGATGTAGTTTGTACCAGTAAGCTGATCTGGGGTCAAAACCTGACTGACAAGGTCTTTGTGCAAGCTTGCTTGCACAGGTAATAGTGGCCTTCCCGTATAACCAACGGTATGGAGGAGCGTCATAAACAAAACTTAAGTACATATGGGACAGTTCTGTGACCCCTTCAATACAGCTGATCCCCAACTCACGACAGTTGTCCAATTTAAGATCAAGAATTGTAAAAGTAAGTTCTGTAGCTGTATCTGCGATAGTCCACCTAGTTTATGAAACTATTTTCTATCTTAGGCAACTCTGATATGTATGAAAACCGTTGATTTAACTATGCGATGTTTATATTATTTTATTACAATTTTTGCTTACATCACACCCGTGAAATGGTGTTACTCAAAACACATCGTAATGAAATTAGATAGTGTGTCTGTGGCAATGAAACTTAACTAGGTCAGGTTTGTAGCTGTTAGCTGAACATGTAACGCAGTATGTGTTACTTTTTCTGATTCAATGTCGATTTTGTTTTAGATGATGTTTCTTCGTCTTCTCTTCTTTAGTGATGTTAATAAAAATGGAAGTGAATTAATAAAAATGAAAGTAAATTAATTTGCGATTCCGTGAGCTCAGTGTTTGCCTTTTATTGCTTTTAAAACGATAATAAAAAGAGAAAAAAATTGAATGTTCCACGTTTTTCTTTTTATTTTTTGTAATTAAATAAAAAAAATAAAAAATTAAATGTTTGTAAAATTTTGAAGCGATGAGACGAATAAGTCGTTTGTCTGGTGATAAGCGACACGCCTATTCATGACAGTTGCAAAGAACTTAGGGGCACTGCCACTGCGCCCATCACTCAGAGACATAACAAGTCTCATGTGTGTGTAATTTCATCAATATCCACCGACATCGGAACGGTATAATGCTTTCTGTTTTACGACTAGGTGGCAGTACTTCCATGGACGAATTCTTTCACAAGGGGCTCTACTGGTACAATAATCTTCTACAAACCTATCACAAGGTTGTTGCAGATAAACTAGACCATTTTTTTAATTGTAGGTACAGGCGTATAAATGGAAAAGTTATTGTTAAACATCAGCTAATCGCTATTAAGTTTCTTTTTTTTAATACGTTTTTAGTAGTTTTTTTTAACTGCCTCCGTGGCCGAACGCAGAGCTCCCAGGTTCGATTCCCGGGCCAGGAGAAATATTTGTATGCCCTACATTTATTTCTCTTGTGAGTTCGGGTGTAATTTGTAGTTGTCGCGACACAGGGTTTCCCTAGTGCAGGGCTATGTTGAGTGTGTGCGTTATTTATTTATAAAAGTCAAAAGTCAAAGAATCATTTATTCCATGGGTAAAATAAATTTCACTTGAAAACGTAATTTTTTAAGTTACCGCTCGTTCACTGTGCTGACTTCCCTGAGAAGAACGAGTGAGAAAGTCTAGAAATTGCTGTTTTCAAATGAACTTAAATGCTATGGAATACACTCGGAATCAAATTTGTGTGAAATCTAGACCCATACCATCATTCCATTATATCTTTATCTAACACGTAGTCTTCAATTTTGTAATATGACTTTTCAAATAACATATTTTTAATTACAGTTCCCCATAAAATAATCGTCTAGCTTTGGTAAACCAAATCGTGGTACCACGAGTTAGTTCTAAGGTTAATATTACGGGTATCTTCTTTCTTTATGAAATTATGTATATTTCTTCCATGATTTTTCTTTAGCGCTCACCAATTTATGCGCCAGAGCAGGTATAAACCGTCGACATCGCAAAAATCGGAGTAGGTAAGCGTCGTCTATTCGCCGCGGCTTGCATTGACCCCTCTCTGCAATTATAAAGTTATTTATTGTAAATTCTTCTTCGTTTTTGAATGAATGTACAATTGGAACAGCGTCAAGAGCACGAGCAGTTAGATACTTGAGATATAAATTCAACTCTATGTGGTAAGAGCGATCTATTGTCGAAAGTGTCAATCTTGAATGATGTGTGAGCTATGGTGACATCTTATGGGGGAGCAGTGTAGACGCTACAACACTATTTACTGCACGAAATAAGCATATATCCAAAAACTGGATATATCCAGATTATTTCACTAGGCGAAGAGATATTGCTACACGTTATATATCACGACATGGACATGAATTGATAACACCAAGTACCCAACTTAAAATGAACTCTTCTAGTCCACTCCTAATGTCGATCAAAGTTTATAATAAATTACCGAAGTCGTTAGTAGATGAGAAAAGCGACATAATAAGAGTATTTATAAAAAAGTAAAGTGACTGCTAATAGAAAAAAATTATTATGCTGTTTCAGAATTTATTCAGGATTAATGATTTAAAAGATTAATTTGTTATTATAAGTACGTCCTCCCCTCCAGTTTGCTGTGTCCTATTCAGGGTCTTTTGGACTTATTTTGGAATTTGTTCTAACAAAACAGTTTACCTTTATGCTGGTCGTAATTTGCGGTTTTTGAACACATTATAGAGAGTTTGTGATATCTGTGTAGATAAAATGTTAAACCGACCACACCAAAAACATTGTAGAAAATGCAATAAAGTATTGATTGATTGAATTCGTAATCGTACTCCCATTGCAGTGTTTGTTTGAGCTCAAAATACACTGAAAAAGACCTGATTGTAATGGAGTGGGGTTTAATTTATTCAATCACAATTCATACCAATTCGTACCCTTGGTCTAAATCATATTTTCCTAAAGTGGTCCCTACCAACCCCCAGTGGGCGGCGAACAGTCCCACCGGGCGGTAGGGGCCTCAGAAGCAATTGGGGAGCGTTGATGCTGTCCAGGGAGTGCTACGTGCGCGCTGGTAACGCACACGGCGAATATGCTATAGGCGAAAAACATGATGCGTCGTGACGCTTCGACTCTGCGCCAGTGTGAGTTGAGCCCTATAATAGATGACTTGAACTTGGATATTAACTATAATTTGGCCTAATAATGAATTACTAATTATCATTTCCAATCCAACTTCTAATAACTTAGTCACAGATAGAAAGATAGAATTGAAGTCATAATAGACGCTATAATTGAAACTCTAAAGTGAATTATTACAAATACCCGGAGCTTAGGAAATTGCTCAGAAATTGCCAATAGCCGTTTGACATTTACTTTAGGATTATCTACTAGTGTTTATTACACTAAATTTTAATACTCAGACAGCGGCTATTCCAGTATCTTTAGTTTAATGTCTGTACTTACGTACTGCAGTGTAGGTACTATTTGAAATTAAATTTAATAAGTTAGGTTTAGCACATAGAATAATAACGCATAGAATGATAGTTTCATATTAAACGAACTGTCACAAGTGAGGCAAAAATCAAATTCATGAAGGCTAGTTTTAGTAGTAGGTTCATTTTTGATTTTAGTGAATATTTATATAAAAATACAAGTTGAAACGCGTTACTTCCTTGTGGAATGTGATGTTAGTATCTATTTTATGTTTGTCTGACGTATTTTTACACTCATTTACCGCATATTTCGTTATTTTTAGCTACAATTCTTGATCTGTTCGCGGTGCAAGTTGACCTTGAGCACTGGAGGCCCGTCCGCTCGTGTAGGCCCATTGGGCGCGCTTCGATTTGCCTCACATAGCGTGTGCGGACTAGGTTTCTATACGTTATTATTCTAAGGTTTAGCATATGAAAACAGTCTTATGTTATATGTACAAATTAAACGATACATTTAGGAAAATGCTTTTGTTTAAGAGTAGACTACCTCAAATGGCTTTCGTTGATTTCGTATTACAACGAAAGAGTTGAATCAATCACTTAGAAAAAACTATGCAATAAAATTGAGGTTATACATTGATTACTGTACGGTGTGAATACAGGATTCCAAAAAATTATCACTATAGAAAAAGAAACACAAACTTACCGCTGTATTCAATAGGTAGTTTACATATACCAATGTTTTTTCTTTTATCAGCAGAACTAAATAGAACACGTGTAGTATACGATATATTTTTTTCTTTCAAATAGCTTTAATTCCTTTTCTAAAAAAATAAATTCTGAAATAAAGCCAGTCTCCTGCCGCTCGACCCAAGCAAAATGAATCGTATTAGTACCTATCATTATCGTAATAATTTGCTGGTATATTTATTTAATATATATTATGTAGCATTAAATTTAAGAAGAAAAGAGAAAAAAAAAATTCCTAACTGTAAGTCATTTAATTAAAGGTAGAAACTTTCATCGAGTTTATTTTTTGGCGGAAGTAACTTGTAGCGTTCGGGACACTAGAGGCTTTAATGGGGGAACTGAAACTTCGTTATGAGAACTTCCGCCTTTGGCCCTTTTTAATAGAATATTCTGTATCATTTATCTCATAGCTACATCAATCTAAGAAGTGTAATACAGCAATTGGATGCTGATAAGCAATAATGTGTTACCCACTGCCAAATTGTAGCTTGTCGTTTCGTTTTCATTGTACACACATAAAGTAAGTGATTTTTTTATTTTTTATTCTTGCACTAGGGAAACCCTGTATCGCGGGTGCCATGGACACACACATAGGTAGACAACCACAAATTACACCCAAATTTACGAGAGAAATAAATGTATGCCACACAAATATTTCTCCCGGCTCAGGAATCGAACCCGGGACCTCTGCGTCGGTTACCGTGCTGTATTGCCAGCACGGTAACCGTTCGGCCACGGAGGCAGTTCAATTTGAACCGTAGTAGTAGTTGACATATATACATTTTTTATAATAATATCAAGTGACGGGACGAACAAGTCGTGCGCGTGATAGTAAGCTACACGCCTGTCCATAACAATTGCAGTGCCACTTAGAGCTTTAAATCGCAGAGATCTGAGGGGCACTGTCACTGCGCCCGTCACCCTGATAAATAAGTTGACAAGTCCCATGTGCCAGTAATTTCAGCAAGAAAAGTATGGCAGGCACTTTGCTATATGTCTTTCCTATAATATAGAATCGTAAACAGCATGTGGAAAAACCAGGTGAATTTACGATAAGAAGAAGAATAAACTAGCCACATTATTACATGTAACATAAAATATAAAGAGCATTCTTTGTAAATTTACTCAGAGCATAGCGGAACAGAGTAATCCTATCCGATATTTCATTCAGTCCTTCCATGCGCACCGCCAGCAGTGGATGACGATGACGTCGCCCCACGTACCTGTCAGGAACATATATACAAGTCTAATATCCCTAGTATACTTCTGATTACTTTCAACAAACACACTGTAAAAGCTACCATATCCAAATTGCAAAGATTAGATCGGAGGATAGAAGTAGTCTACACAAAGTGTTGATATACAATAACCCGTATCTACAAGGCCCATTCTTATGTATAGTTCTGAGACTTGGACACTCACACGTAAAGAAAAGAACAAACTCCTGGTGATTGAGAGAAAGCAAAATTCGAGATAGTAGCTGGAAAGTTCATGCTAATGCCGAAATAGAAGAGCTCGTCGCCCAGCCAAACGGCATCGGAGAAACCAAAGCGCACAGATATCACTAGCTCGGCCGTTTTGAAAGGATGGGAGAAGATCAGAACGCGAAGAGAGTAGTTTGTAAGTAGAGTATTTTGGTCGGCCTACTTGACAGAGATTATTTGGTCATTCCAGGTATCACTGGAGCGACGCCGTGAAGGCAGACCTGCGTGAACCACATGTCATTATTAACTGCACAGGACCGAAGAAAGTGGCGTAATCACGTTTCGGATGTCAAGATACATTTTGAGTCACTGAACCAGCGGAGTAAGAGGGCAGAAGGGGTAAACAGCACATTGCCTCAAGTACAGTCTCACAAATTTATTTTGTTCAGTCCATAAATGTCTATAAATCGAGCGGAATTGCGAAAGCGTCATGTTGGTCTTACAAAAATAATTTTATTTATTTCAAAAACAACTTTTTTATATTTTAAAATCATATTTTATAATAAGACGCGACTTCACATACATAACGGTCAAGTGTCAAGGACAGGTCAATTCAACGAGATTTTTTCGAGATTGTTATACTTACATGATATTATATAACTGCCTCCGTGGCCGAACGGTTACCATGCCGGGCTGCCACGCAGAGGTCTCAAGTTCGATTCCGGGGCCGGGAGAAACATTTGTATGGCCTACATTTATTTCTCTCGTGAGTTTGGGTGTAATTTGTGGTTGTCTATGTGTGTGTCCGCGACACAGGGTTTCCCTAGTGCGGGGCTATGTTGAGTGTGTGCGTTATTATTATTATTATTATTAATAATAACTAATTCATGGCTAATGGGCATTGTTAGTTTTTTTCAAACTCTCTATTTAAAAATCCATTTGGAGGAATAAGGTTGCTGATTAATATTTTCTATGTATTTGGCGTTTAGACTTACCATAAATCATCTGTCGAAACTCCTCAATAATTTGTTGTCTAGTGGCCGGGTTCTCGTGGCAGTTTCTTCTAGCCATTTCTTCGAATTCTGCATCTTCGAATCTGCTGACTTCGGCTTGAAACGCGATGTTTATGAATGGCATTTTATATCTGTAACAATGGAAATATGAATATAGATATATGCACTGTAAACGTAACTTGAATGTTGGACTTAGCAGTAACATTGAAGTTCATACAGAATGAAGACGTGACCACTAAGGATTACATTTTAAATTAACCATGAGCTTTTCAGTGAAGGAAAACATCGTGGTGAAACGTGGCCGTCAAAGAAGGTTCACAACTCTCGGAAAGCGTATGAGTTTCCCACCCCGCATTGGGCCAGTGTAGCGAACTAGCGCTAAAACCCTAGCCTGAGAGAGTGTTCGTGCCCAAGAGTGGGGTGTGTTAATGGGATGACGGCGACTTAAGAGATATAGATTCAAGAAAGAGCTTTCTGGAAGCAACGCTATGCATTTTCCGAGGTTCGACAAGCAGGTATAACCAAGAAGATGGAGTACTTATATATTCCAGTTAACATTAATCGTAGTTATAGAAATGATTAAATGATAAAAAACACATCGCGGCAGTTAAGAACCGTCAGCTCAATAAGGCTGCAATTGCCGAGCATTTGCTGGAATCAGGACCAAACCACTGGATTGAGCTTCATAATCCCGAGATCCTTTCTACAGAACGTCATCACTATAGTAGAATCGTACGTGAAGCTATTGAAATTAAAAAACACCGTAATTTCAACCGAGAAGATGGTTTTAAGCTTTCATCGTCATCGACATCAAGTATCGCCCGACAAGTCGCCGGATGTCATGAGTATTGTGTGTCGGTCTAGTGAGAACCCTAGTGCACAAATAAATAATGAAGATCAAGTGCGGGTAGTTAGAAAAACTCGCACGGCTAGAAGATGCTGACACCCGCCTCTTCAGTCTCTTCGAGACCATGGACGTTGCAATATGTCCGAAAAGTCGAGGTAAATAAAATATGTTTTATACGTAATTAAGTCCCGAATTAGAAATGAAATAATAGAAATGATTGCCGTAATTAAATTTCAAATTTTGTACCCAATTAGTTTTTGTTACAAAATATTCAAATACAAAATTTGAATTTAAACTACAATGTCGCAACCATACGTGACTGTATTAAATGAAAGTGTATGAAACAGGCTCTCCAAATTTGCAAATGAAGGTAGTCCTTCAAAATTAGAATTGTAAAGGTCGAATTCTCTGCATACCATAGCAAATTAGTTTTGTAGTGTTGAACTACTTACACAACTGTTAAACTAGCGTCAAAATTAAATAAACATGAGTTGCGCAATTTTAAATTTAAAAATTGTGAAATTGGTCGTTTCGTAGTTTATTGCAAAGTAGGTTAATTTCGGGGTGTTTTAGAACATGCACTGTTGAAATCAAGTTTAATAAAAGAACTCTACGTCGTCGTATTATCTTGCAACAATGCACTGTGGGATATAGGACACTTCTATAAGAAGCATAGGTAATTGCCGTAATCACCAAGCTACCAAGCACCCCGCCAGAGAGGGCAAGCGCCTGGGTTTTAAACCGGCGCTTTGTTAATGTTTTGTTTAAATCGGGTTAAAACCCATTAATGCCCGAAATCGAGGGTAAAACTATTTACAACTAAAATATGTAAATCGAGTTTTGTTCAAATGTAACGATATTAATACAAAATGTTTATTGCTAGGTCACATATTTTGCCTTTGTATTGAACAGATTCGCTTGAAAGTCGTATTGAAATAAACCGATACAAAAAAATCGTTGTTTCGATTTTTATAAATATTTAATCGTAATGCTTCCCTAGTAGTAAGTGAAAGTCCACATGATTGCAAGGTGGATATTTTTTATATACATATATCAAGTGATGGGACGAATCAGTCGTGGGCCTGGCGGTCAGCGACACGCCTGTCCATAACAGTTGCAGAGCCACTCAGAGCTTCAAATCACAACCGTGCGCCCGTCACCCTGATACATGTGTTGACAAGTCCCACTGCAATTTCACCAGAACCCTTACCCTTAAAAAACCGAAACACAGTAATGCTGACATTACTGCTTCGTGGCCAAAATAGGCAAGATGGCAATATTACCCTGGATGAACTCTTTCACAAGGAACACTACTGCTACTGAATGAAGAAAGATTTTTTGTAATAAGTATGGAATTATACCAACTTCCGTATTATTTTACGCGTATAATGGGTTCCACTCACGAAATTGGGCAGAAATGGGTTAAAACCCGCACAAAAAACCGGACGGGTTCATTGTGTTTTAATCCACAGCCCGTCTCTACGGACCGACGTATTTTTATTTCCTAATACCTACACTTTGAGTACCAGAGCAATGGTATTCACTCTGGGGCACATCCCGGAACACCCAGACCAGAATCAATTTAGAGATATTAATTTCTCAAATTAGTCGTACCGGGAATCGAACCCGGGACCTCCTCATTTAGCGCCTGCAGTACAAACTGTAGGCTACGGTTGGGTTGTCTAAGGAGATTAGTGTTTCAACAACCAATCGTATTGCATTAGTTTGACAACTCCAAGCCGTTTGTCGTTATAATGAAATGTTATTGGCCGCTGAAATTGCATAGCAGTTTCTCCACTCGGCCTTGGTAGGCTAATGGCTACTTACAGATACATTCTAATTAATATTCTTCGAGGAATTATCAACAGAATTAAAAACAAATGTATTATTGAGATTATTTGTGATATAACTGCCCTAGTTTGTTGTGATCATTAATATAAAGATCAAACACAATGAAATATTAAAATAATACATTTGACCAAGAATCGATATCAACGTTAGCTTTTGGTACCTGTAAAGTCACCGGCTGCAGTGAGAAGGTTGCATTTTTGTTTCGTACCACGGCCACTCTGCTTGACCGCGATGGCGGACAGAACTACTAAATCAAATTGTCTAACTTTTTATTCTTTTCAAGTTTAATCATAATACAATCAATGTAAATCATGTATTGACCATAATGAGCGAATCCGTCTATCCAATATCTGTAATTCAAAATAATGAAACCCGACAAGGGGTAAGTCCCTAAATCTAACATCTACCATTTTTTAGATCCAAGATAGGGAGTGTTTTTTATTAATGTACTGTTTTCTACATCTACCTTTTATTTGTTACAGTTTTTTACTTTACCTTTTCCTTCACATTTAATAAATTTGTGGACCGGAGGTTTTCTGTTTTACTGCTGTGATCCTGATCACGGTTGTTAGGGTTACAATTAACACACACACACACACACTCAACATAGCCCCGCACTAGGGAAACCCTGTGTCGCGGGTGCCATGGACACACATATAGACAACCACAAATTACACCCAAACTCAGGAGAGAAACAAATGTAGGTCATACAAATATTTCTCCCGGCCCGGGAATCGAACCTGGGACCTCTGCGTGGCAGTCCGGCATGGTAACCGTTAGGCCACAGAGGCAGTTGAATTCTTTCAAGGTTACTAAAAACTCTCACTAGATGTCACTTACGGCACTGAAAGCCGGAAAACCAGTACAGAGACCTATAACAAAAACAAATTGAAGAATTTCGTCAACTCGATAACTTGACCTGTAGCTCATCGGTATAGAGCAATGTTATGGTTAGAGGCGTTTAAACGAAAAGCTCATAAAAAAGTTTCCTTTTTTAAACAAGCGCATAAGCACGCTTTTCATTTTAAGCGTAAGCGTTGGTCACTGGTCAATTCTATACTCAACAATTTAATTTTTTACAATGTGTCTAAGTTTCAAGTAGCGCCATCTATGTTTCCTAAACAAATTAATTCAATATAACGTTGCAAGTTTTTTTAAAACATAAAAGTCTATGCGCTTAAATGTTTTTCTAAACGACTTTTTAAGCATTAAACTAAAAAGCGTTTAAGTGAAAAGCGCTTTTACAAGCACGCTTTTTACAAAAATAAGCAGTTCTTTCCATGTCAACGGTTAACAACTACAAAAGTTAAACAACTTATGTTTTTGAACGCTTTGAAACGCCAATGAACAAAATATTAATATAATAATGTTACCTATGTTATAAATAAAAATAAAACTCGTTTTTTACAAATAAACTTACTTATCCTAAAACGTGTAGTGGTCTACACTTGCTTTTCGATATCAATACAACAATGCGAGCTTTTTTTAATGTAAAAGTCTACGAGCTTAAACGTTATTTTAACGATTTTGTTAGCTTGAAACTAAAAAGCGCTTAAGTGAAAAAGCGTTTAAAAAAGCACGGTTTTTTACAAAAATGCACAAAGTTTAATGGTTTAAAAAAATAAGCAATTTTTCCCATTTCTAGCTATGGTACAGTGTGCTCAAGGGTTCAAGTTCCATCGGGTCGAAGAAATTTTTCTTTGTGTTCGAGTTTTGTATTAGCAATCAGAATTAAAAACAATTTAATACCTTCCGAGTAATGTGACCCACACTTTGACATAAGTATAGGTCTACACAATACGAGAAACGGTTACTTTCCAACTTCTACTTTTGTACCTATTTCTCATCTTTTCCATTCGGAATTATCTACAAATCCATCTTAAAATTCGCTTCATAGTTGCATGTAATCATTTAATACATACTTTCCCTTATAAGTCCAACGTTCCGAATAATCCATTCAAAATTCGAATAAAAGCTTAATTTTTTGTCTAATATTAATTTACATTCCAAATTATTGGACACATATTACAACACTTTGTATACGGGGTATCTATCTAAGACGACGCAAAAAAATTATGTACTTCAAAACAAAATGTATTTTACACTTTACACAAATGTTGTGAGGAAACGTTCAGGTGCAGACTGAAGAACCTTTTATTGGAAAAGTCCCTTTACTCAGTAACAGAGTACCCTCACAGTATTTAATAAATAATTAATTAAATTATGATATTTTTTAATTAGTTATTAAGAATCCGTATTGACATTTTCCTGTATACACTTGACATTATTAGTTTAATTCAATTATTTATTTAGTATCATTAATTATGTTGATTTGTATATGTACACTGTTGTGTACTTATGACTTACTATTATATAATTATTTCTTCATTATTTTGTAAACTGACGCTCACTTTTCAAAGAGTAATATAAAAT